TCTAAGACCTGGTTAAGTTCTTCAAAATACGTCTGAGCCAGAAACACTGCAGCCCCAAGGAGGCTGGCTCTCTTGTTTGGAAGAGCATAGCCCAGTGGCAAAAGGGACCAGAAGTCATCTTTAAGCACAGTGGCCAAAGGCATTTAGCCTACAGAAGAGAACTTAGTGTGGAGGCAGGAAATGGAGAAACGGACAACTAATGCCTAGGCTGGCGTACAAGAGACAGGTGGTGTTTGTTAAAAAAAAAAAAATCCTGTCCTCAGCTTGTTCAGTCCTGCCAGGTGCAGTATTTTGCCACATTTCAAGATAAAAGCCCGCAGCCTGGAAAGGCTTCGGTGGCCAGCGTCTTCCAGCTGGTCCACCTGAGATTTGAGTGTCTGCTTTGTTCTCTCTGGTTTTGATCTTTCTCACCCAGGAGTTTTCCAGAGGCTTTCTTCAGACTAAACCTCTCCCTGTCTGTCTCCTTTCAAGGCAGCTATGGCACCATGGCGGTAATGAGATTACGGCCCCGGGAGGCACCTTTGCCCTGGCAGGGTTGCTCTGGCTGCTTATCTTCAGGCTAATCGAATTAGCTTCTTCCTTGAGCTTTTCAATGCCAGGGCAGCTGAAGGAAGTGAAACCTGGGACTTTGCGTCTCATGGTTTGAGCTGTAGAACTTTTAAAAGAAAAATTGCGCAGTGTTTATTGAGAAGAGACCCTGGTGTGGGGGTAGAGAAAGAGCCATTTCTACCACCTTACCTGATTTCAGCCCAGTGGGTGCCTGAGAGGACCTGCCTTAGATTACCTTATTAAAGGCCACTGTTGGTCACATGCCTCCTGGGGTGGAACTATGCCTTGCACCACAGGTCTTTTACTTATGTTTTTGAGGCAGAGATCTCAGGTAGCCCAGGCTGGCCTTGAACTTGAATTGTAGCAGAGGATGACCCTAAACTTCTGATTTTCCTGCCTTTACCTCCCCAGTACTGGGATTGCAGACTTCACCATTGTACCTGGCTTTATGCAGTGCTGGGGCAGTGTGGTGATTGCTGCACTGGGTGGCACACTTTAAATGACTTAAGGGCTGGAGATGCAGCTCAGCTGGTACAGCGTTTGTCTGGAAAGCACAAAGTCCTGGGTTCGAGCCAGCTTGCCTTGGGGACCCCTTTCCCTGCCTCCTACGCTCTGGTTACAGGTGTACCACCCTGCCTAACTGACTTCATGTGGGCCTTGTGGATCTGAATTCTACCCCTCACTCCTGCATAGCAAGTGCTTTATCCTCCACGCCACCTCCTCAGCCTCCATCATTTTCCCATCATTCCACATGCTGTCTCTCTGCCGATGGATGTCGGGGTCGATTCTTCCTTTTGGATGTGGTGAACATGAATGTACACATATCTTCTCATGACCCTGATTCCAGTTCTTTAGATGATACACCTTGACATTGAATTGCTGGATTGTAGGGTTTTTCATTTTCAGCGAATTGCCGCCCTGGTTTTCAGGTAGCTGCACCATTTTCCCCTTCCCCCCAACAGCACACAAGGCCCCCAGTTCCCCCACCTACCTGACAATATTGCCTGTATTCTGGTTAATGGCAGTCAACTTCATGAGGTTGTGGAGGCAGTGATTATTATTATTATTATTATTATTATTATTATTAGCTTAGTATGGGGTTGTCTAGGCAGCCCCTGGGTCTAGATATTATGGATAATTAATTCCAAGAAGACTGTTGTCCAGTGGGGCTTAAGAACAGTGTCCTGGTGCCCACACAGAGAACCTTTTAACATCTACAGAGGCTTCCAACAGACAGCTGCTTCTGGCTATTTGCAGTAAGAAAATACACTAGCCTTGCTCTTTGCTCAGACAGTGCATGGTTACCCAGGGGGTGAGTTCTCGGGGTTGTTCACAGGGGAACTCTGCCTATTCTAGGTGTTTCCCATTAGAAAGAACCTGTTGGAGCACCGAAGTGACAGGCTCCTTCCAGCTTGGACTCTTCTGCTCTACGTTCCTGTGCCTGGGAGGGTTGCTTTCTTGAGGTCACAGGGCAGAGCAGCCGTGAGCATTGGTGATGAGGGGTGCCTCTGGGGTGCTAAACGGAGAGGGAGAGTGTCCCTTATCTCTGGCCAGTTAGAATTGGAATTGGGCCTCCAGGCATTTGGGACTCTGAGCACACTCATTTGAACCTGGGAAGCTGGGATGCTGAGATCTGCTAACTGCCCCCAACTCTCAAACCTTTTTCTTTCCTGTGCAATGTAAACTGAAGCCCCCACCCCAAAGATACACACCCAGCATTAAAGATTCTAGAAGGCCAAACTGTTAGCCAATTGTGGAGAGTTAGAATCTTGCAGATCCAGAGCTGAATTAGCTTGAGCTGCTTTTATACTTTGTTTTCTAAACAGCCATTCACTGTCCACACCTTTGTCTGACTGTGTTCCTCACCTTACCATGACCAAGATGATTATAGAAGGAAGGCTTTACTTTGGTCTCTGGACCCAGGGGGAACAGAGTCCTCACTGTATGGAGTATGGCAGCAAACAGGGGCAGGAAGCTGAGGGTTCACACTGTCAAATGCAAGCGGGAAGCAGAGTGAACTGGAAGTGACGGAGGCTTTTAAGCCCACCCCAGCAACCTACTTCTGGCATGGCCCTATCACTTATGGCTCTCCAAAACTGGGCCACCAACTGGGGACCAAGTGTCCAGATGCTCAGACTGTGGGGGAGATTTCTCATGCAACATACCACACTGATCTAACTTCCTTTGGACTATCAGTATCTTGCAAAGGTCTTCTGCTGGCTTCCACCAGTTCAGAAGTTAAGGATGTCATTAGAATACACTGGAAACCTGTAGCAGTTTTCTCTATTGTATACCCTGCTTATGTGGTCCCTGCCAATTATTAGGTAAATAGCTTGATGTATGATTTTCTTTGTCCTGTGACTGATACAGTCCCATGCAACTAATGGTGGCACCCATGATTTAGGGCATTCAGAATCTGTGTTTTGGGGCAGTGCTCACCTGTATTTGCTTTAGAATAAACCACTTCTTACTGCATTTGAAGTGAGAGCTGTGTTTGCTTCATAGCAAGGAAAGACTCAGAGTGGGTCTCAGCTGGCATGGGCTGGGACTTCCCAGCCAGAGAGCTTGCTTGGTCTGTTGCTCAGCCATAAGCTCAGACCCTGTAGGAGCAGGGAGGAATTAGGAGAGGCCACGGTAGACATCACAGGGGCCTTCACTGAACCAGAATAGAGTTGATTCATCATCCAGTGAGCCTGCTTCTGGCCTTGATGCCAAGCTTGTGGTCATGGCCATTGGCTTTGTGACACTGGGACCTATTTCTTGGTCCCCCTGTGAAAGGCCTCCTACCCACAGGGTTCTTGTGAGGTGCAGGGATAGGAGACATAATAGAAATTGTGCAAAAACACCCTTAAAATGCTTCCTCTTTTGCTAGGTACAGCAAAAGTTAAAATTTCAAGCTTAATGTGAGGGTGACCATTGTGGTTTTAAAATTGAAGGTCTTTTTGGGCCCTCTACCTCTCTGTTTTTTGTTTGAATTTGTTTTCTGAGGCAGGATCACATGTAGCACAGGCTGGCTACATGAAAACCTGATGCTCCTCCTGGAACCCCCGTGTGTTGGGATTACAGGGCTGTGCATTCTGTGCTGGACCCTGTGGTGGGAAGAATGCCAATACAGGAGAGGAAACCAGCTGGTTTATTTTTTGGTTACAGCTGTATTCATCCTTTCCCACAAGCCTACACCAGGGACGGTGTCTTTTGTACGTGTTATACTGCCAGGCCCGTAGGGTGGAAGCCCCAAATGTTTGCCGAGCATGGCAAGTGGGCGACTGGCTGGGCAAATGCTTAACATACCTGTCCCTGGGGTTGCCATGGTTTGGGCAGGCAGGGACTAGACGGAAGCTGATGAGAGCCATTGCCTCCCTGTTGCCTAGCAGGCTTAGTGTCAGAATGTGAGGCAGGGTGACTGGTGGAGGAGAAAAGTGGACATCTGTCACACTGGACCACAGACCCTGTGGGCTGCAATGCCGACCCGCCTTGTCAGAGATGCCCGTGGTGCAGCAGTGGGCATGTTTGAGAGGAAACCAGCTGCATCCTGATTGAATCTGAAGTCTGCTCCATGGGAGGGGATGCACGCCTAACACTGTAGAACTAACTGGTCAAGAGCTATGGCCAGGGCTGTCACAGGCCCAATGGGGGGAATCTATGACTGATGTTTTGCCAAATGGAAGCATAATTAAGCTGCCTTTTAAATAGTCATGTTTATGACATTACTTTGTGTGTGTGGGCGTGGGTGCCACTGTGAATGTAGAGCGATTGGTTCCCATTCCTCCATGTGAGGCTTAACCAGCGGAGCCATCTTGCCAGCCCCTGAGCAGTTCATGTTTACCCACAGGGGCAATCGCAGCTCTCAGACTTGGTCAGGGACACCTTTCAGCTGTGAGCACTGGTCAAGATGGGGGGGGCGGGGCTCATAACTTGTCAAAGTGTTGAGAATAAGGGTGTGCTAAGTGCTTGGCACTAATTGGGACATAGATGCTCCCTGTCTGAGGCCCAGGGAGCATCAGGGCATGGAAGGCCTGGGAATGGAAGAACGAGGAGGGCTTACGTAACAGTGATCTGCGTGGTCACGTCTCCTGGATCCCTAGGAGGCACTGTCTCCCATTAGTCACACAAGTGAAGCATTTTCTTTACTCCAGGGTCCCAAGGAGACAACATTGCCAAACAAATGTGTGAGGTCACATTCATAGTCGTCCTGGGATGTATGGACTAAGCCCAGTGGTACCCCCGTTAGGACTTTTGGGCCTTACTGTGCTGGACCCTGTGGTGGGAAGAATGCCAGGCTTCTTGATGGAGTGGGAGAAAGGGGCCAATGCAGGGGTGTTGTGGAGAACATTCCAGAGACAAAGTGATGTGGGCAAACGTTAAAGTATGTGTACACTACTACATCCCTGATGTGGAGAAGTGCTGAGTTGGAGCCTTTGTGAACTTGAATGCTGTGTCTTGTCCCCCAGGTTCAGACAATGAATTACGTGGGGCAGCTGGCTGGCCAGGTGTTTGTGACCGTGAAGGAGCTCTACAAGGGACTGAACCCTGCCACGCTGTCGGGATGCATCGACATCATCGTGGTCCGCCAGCCCAATGGCAGTCTGCAGTGCTCTCCTTTCCACGTCCGCTTCGGGAAGATGGGTGTTCTGCGTTCCCGGGAGAAAGTGGTGAGGCCTGGACACCCTCTCCACAGAGAACAGCAGCATGAGGGTTGCTCTCCCCCCCCCTCCCCCCCTCCTGAGCTCTCACACTCAACATAATTTAACGCTCACCAACGGTCCCCTTGTTCCATTTACTAGTGTGGTGTCAGTTACTCCAAGATGACAGGCACACCCCTGCTTATCAAAGTCAGAGGCTCAAGGCAGAACAGGCCAGGGCAGAGGGGCATGGCGCTGCAAAGCAGGGGAGCGCCCACTCCCTCCTGTGCCTGGGGGCTGGTTCTGTGTTCTCAGCTAAGGCTGCCAGGCAGAGTCCTTCCACGTGATCTGGCTCCCTTACTGCATGGCGGCTGCTCACGGGAAACTAGGTGAGCATGGTGTTTTTATGAGCTGTTTTCCCCAAAGTCCAATGGAGTGACTTGTACTGCATTCTGCTGGTGGACATCAGTCACAAGCCTGGGGTACATGATGTTTTTATGACATTGTTTTGAAGTCCTGTGGTTGGGTGTCAGTCACAAGCCTCTCTCATCCTCCAGGAGAGGGGAAGGGTGCACATTGGTGGGGAATGGAAGGGTCTAAAACAGCAATGGTAGCATTAAAAAGGACCAGTATGCACATTTAGAAACCCAAGTTCCCTCCCTCCTCCCTTCCCAGTGCTCAGGGCAGGTGTATTTGGATGAGGGACACCTACTGAGACTTGAGGTGTCAGCTTTCAGGGGTGTTCACTGTGTCCTTCTCTGTGTCCTCCCTTCAGGTGGACATAGAGATCAACGGGGAGTCTGTGGATTTGCACATGAAGCTGGGAGACAATGGAGAAGCCTTTTTCGTTCAGGAGACTGACAATGACCAGGTGAGAGGTCATTTTAATTTAGTACGTGACCAAAATACGTTTTTCTGTTGTTACTGTGTGTATATGGTCTGTCTTAGTTAGGGTTTCTATTGCTGTGAAGAGACTCCATGACCACAGCAACTCTTCTAAGGAAAACATTTAATTGGGGCGGCTGGCTTACAGTTTCAGAGGGTCAGTTCATTCTCATCATGGCGGGGAGCATAGTGGCATGCAAGTAGGTATGGTGCTGGCTACATCTTGATCAGAAGGCAACAGGAAGTCGACTGAGACACTGGGTGGTGTCCTGAGGATAGGAAACCCACAAGCCCGCCCCCACAGTGACACACCTCCTCCAACAAGGCCATACCTACTCCAACATAGCCACACCTAATAGTGTGGCTCCTAATGGTGCTACTCCCTATGAGATTATGGGGCCCATTCACATTCAAACTACCACATGGGGTATGTGTCCGTGTATGGTGTATACGCGTGCGAGTGTACTGGTGATTTTGCCAATACACACACATGTGGAGGCCAGAGGAGGATGTTGGGTGTCTTTCTTTTCACTTTCACCCTAGTTTTAAAACAGGCTCTCTCCCGGAACTCGAAGCTTGTTGTCTGGTGAATCTGGCTGGGCACTGATCTATGGTGACCCTCCTGTCGTGGTCCTCCAGTGCTTGGCTTACAGGCACTGTGTGCTCATGCCCAGCTGTTCTATGGATGCTGAGGATTCGAACTCAAGTTCTCTTGCTTTTACAGCAAGCAGTCATGATTTCTTGACAGTTTTATTGAGACACTCATACATCTTAGCTATCACAAGTGTGGTTCATTGGGATTTTTAGTCGGTACACAGATAAACGCAGCCATCATTCTGTTCAGTTTCAGAATGCTGTAATCACCTGAAAAAAAAAATCCATGTTGAATGTACCACCTCTTTATATTCAGCCAATCTTTCAGCACTCAAGCCCAGAGCAGTTGCTGAGTTACCATGTCCCTATGTCTTAGGGTTTTCATTGCTGTGATGAAACACCACTACCAAAGAGCAAGTTGGGGAGGAAAGGGTTTACTTGGCTCACACTTCAGCATTGCTGTCTGTCACTGAAGGAAGTCAGGACAGGAACTCAAGCAGGGTGGGACCCCGGAGGCAGGAGCTGACGCAGAAGCAATGGAGGGGTGCGCTTACTGTCTTGCTCCACACGGCTTGTCAGCCTGCTTTCTTACAGCACCACCGTCCCAGGGGTGGCACTCCCTCCATGGTCTGGGCTCTCCCCCATTGATTGATAAATGGGAAATGCCTTACAGCTGGATCTCATCAAGGCCTTTCCTTGACTGGGGTCCTTCCTCTCTGATGACTTTAGCTTGTGTCAAGTTGACATGCAAAACCAGCCAGTCCACCCTATTTTGAGTTTTCTTCTGAACGAAACCACGCAGGGATACTGCGTTTGTGCCTGGTGTCTTTCACATTGTGCAGCGCTTCAGGATTCAGATGTGGAACCGCACATGTCTGAATTTCAGTTTTGTTATTAGTTTGTGTGTGTGTGTGCCAGAGCATGTGTGGACATCAGAGGACACCTTTTGGGAGCGGGTTCTCTTCTTCCTCTGCGTGGATCCCAGAGACGGTACTCAAATTGTGAGGCTTCGCAAGAGGTGCCTTACCAAGCGAGTCCTGCTTTGGGCCCAAACTGTTGAGTGTTTTCAGTGGCTCAGAAGTTTGTTAGACCACATTTCGTTTACCTAGTCGTCTCTTGGGTGTCGCCACCTTGTGACGAGTGTGAGTAATGATGTTGTGTGCATTTGTATTCGTTCCTGTGAGACCATAAGCTCTGGTCTCACCCCCACCCCTCCCCAGTGTATACCTAGGAGTGAAATTACTGGATTGTGTGGTGACTTAATGTTTAACACTTTGAGGGGCTGGACCTGAGGAGATGACTCTGTGGTGTAAGAGTGCTCGCGTTGCAAGTTTGAGGACCTGAGTTTGGGTCTCTAGCACCCGAGTTTAAAAAAAGCTCAGTACGTGGCTGTGATCCTAGCCTTGGGGGGCAGAGACAGGCAGATCCAGAGACCGTGCTGGCTGGCCAGCCAGTCTAGCTGAAACAGCCAGCTTCAGGTTCAGTGAGAGACTGTGTCTCAGTGCTGTAGGGTGGAGCGTGACGGAGAAAAACACCCAACAGCCTGTTGGGGGCCCTGTGAAGCAGTCTTGGGCAGGGTTCCAGACTTCAGCTGGTCCCTTACTGGGAAGGAAGCTCCAGCATCCGAGGTTTAGACTTCCCGTCATCTGCTGCTTCTGGGCTGGAAGCCAGGGGCTGCTCTGCCCCACTGTCTGCTGTGGCCCCTCAGCCTCCAGGCAACTCCTGTCTAAATGGGAAGGCCTGAATTTCCTAGCTGAGATTTTTGTAACCTCCTATTGCTCCTGGCTGAGGCCCATTTTAGGCTCTGGGAGTCAGGAGTCACTTGGGGCCTGGATGCTACAGAGGCTGTGTAGTAGCCGGCTCAGCATTTGTGGTGGCTGGGAGCCTGCTGAGAGCTGGGACCCGCATACTCTGTCACCAGCTGTCCCCTTCTGCTTGTGGCAGGTCTTACTCTTCTCCAGCTCTCTCTCCTCGCGTACTGGCTGCACGGCCGGATGTGCTCTGGAGTGGCAGGCCTATAGGCGAACTGTCATCTGGATTTTTTTTTTTTAAATTAGACTGGGCCTCGTGCTGGAATGTGAAAACACACACTCACACACATATACCCACGCATCCACCGAAACCCACTCCTACTTACTCTGACACTCAGAGTAACGTAAAACTGTGCCTGGGTCCCAGCAACAGTGTCACGACTTTTCCCTCATTTTTCTCTGACGTCACTGGCAATGGCCTGACTGGTTATGATTATAGGGATGCTGTGCTGATATAAAACAGTATCTGAGGACTTCATGGCTCTGATCCTCGTAACCGTGAGATGTTGTGTTATCCTCCTGTCTCTCTCCCCTCGTCATGGCCCTCCTTCACCTGTGTTCACGGGACTCTTGAACACCTGCCTGGAGCACGAGACTCTTATCCTCAGGGTTTTGAATTCTTCCCCATGTTGGGCACCAAATATAGCATGATTAATAAAAACCCAGAGACAGACACTGGGGTTCAACTTGAAGGTCAGAAAAGCAAAACAGCCAGTCACTGGCTCTTACCTCTACCTCAGTCCGAAGTGGCGATCCTGCCTCCAGGAATCTCAGAATGAGACTGAGTCTGAGAGCTGTTTCCTCCCATTTTATATTCCTCTCTAAGGCTGGGATTAAAGCCGTGCATCACTACTACCTGGTTTCTATGACAAACTAGCATGGCTACTGGGATTAAAGGTGTGTGTCACCACTGCCTGGTCTGTGGGTCTCTGATCTTCAAGCGAGCTTTATTTATTAAACTACAAATAAAATATCACTACACGTGCCCTGTTTAGGAAGTCATCCCCATGTATCTGGCCACATCTCCCATCCTGTCGGAAGGAGCTTCTCGAATGGAAAGCCAGCTGAAAAGGAACTCCGTGGATAGAATCAGGTGCTTGGATCCCACCACAGCTGCCCAGGGCCTGCCTCCCAGCGACACCCCATCCACTGGTTCCCTGGGGAAGAAGAGGAGGAAAAGGAGGAGGAAGTCTCAGTTGGACAATCTCAAAAGAGATGAGAATGTCAACACGTCTGAGGATGAAGACATGTTTCCCATAGAGATGAGCTCTGATGAGGACACAGCACCGATGGATGGAAGCAGGTAAATGGGGCATGAAGACGGGCTGTGTGCTGGAGGAGGGTGAGCTGAGGGAAGACGGGCTCTGTGCTGGAGGAGGGTGAGCTGAGGAAGACGGGCTCTGGGCTGGAGGAGGGTGAGCTGAGCTGAGGGAGACGGGCTGTGTGCTGGAGGAGGGTGAGCTAGTTTCTTTTTTCAGCAAATTGAGCTGAGTCTTAGCTGAGGATCACCTTGGGCTTCTGACCAGCATGCCCCCTACTCTCAGATGCTGGGATTATAGGCATACACTATCATGCTCTGTCAGATGGGGCTGGATTTGAATCTGAGAGTTAGGTGTGTGAGGCAAGTACCAACTGGACTATATCTCTAGTCCCAAATGAGTTACATTTAAAGATGATTTCCATCAATTTATTTATTTTTTCTGAGTTAGGGTTTCTCTGTATAATAGCCCTGGTTGTCCTGGAGCTCCCTGTGTAGACCAGCATGGCCTCGACCTTACAAAGATCCGCCTGCCTCTGCCTCCCAGAGTGCTGGGTTTAAAGGCTTGCGCCACCATCGCCCAGCCATAGTTTGTTTTTCTTTTTTAACTTTTCGTTTTTCTGTTAGGTATCTTAGACTGAATTTCTGCAGGCAGGCGGTGGACCCCGCATGGAGGGTATGAAGCCTTGTTTTAGTTTTTTAATCTAAGACACAGTCAGTCACACCATTCCTCCGTGGCTAATGACCTCAGCTATCTGAAATAGAATCGAGACACAAGAATCAGCAGATGAGTATTTCATGAACAGAACTGTTTTCTCAGCATTGTGATTTATTTACTGGTGCTGGGGATCAAGCCTGTGGCACCAAGCATCTCTGTGGCACCCTTCGCCCTCTCATTGGCTGCCCAGAACCTGGCTATTGTTCCCTGAGCCCCAACTCTGCATGTGGCCTTGAGGGAGATCTGTAGGCCCAGAGGGTATTCAGTCAACTCAGAGCCAAAGGTGGCTGGATCCCAAACTCACTTTATGTTAAGCAAACCTTTCCGTTATAATTTGAATTATTCCTAAATTTAATGAGCTTGTCTCCTTTTAGTTTGCTTTGCTTCTAAGACTGCCACAAAGCTCTGTTTGTAAGTATGTTTTTTGGTGCAAAAAGCCAATTTTGAAAACTAAATTTTAAATATTATTTGCTGTCTCAGATTTTTATATAATTCCATGTGGCTTTTGATAATTTTTATGTCTCGCTAACATAAAGAAAAGATAAAGAACACCAGGGATGGAATGTTCCTGCAATTCCTTGTTGCTGTATTTTATATTTTGAGCTGGGATCTTTTGTGGCTGAAGATGACCTTGAACTTCTGGTCCTCCTGCCTCTACCTCCCAAATGCTGGGATCATAGGTGTAGGCGACTCTCAATTTCTGTGGTACTGCGATTGAACTTGATAGGCAAGCAGCCAATGGAACCACACCCTCCAGTCCTCAGATGTCCTTTTTTTCTGGCTTATACTGGAACTTGGCTGTCATCATCGCCTTTACTAACTGTAACATTTAACCTACTGTGGGTACTGGGACTATTTGGCTTGGGCTGGTTATAATGGCCTTTTTTTTTCTTTGTGGCTTCCGTTTCAGAGCCTGGCCACAGGTAGTTCCAGCAGCACCAGAGGTGTAGGCATATGGCTTCTGTGGGAATGGGGTTGGGAACCGTGTGTTGTAATGTCTGTGCTCCTGTCTGAGGCCAGGGAGTTTTACAGTCCTGTTCATTTCAAAGATGCACATTATTCATGCCGTTAATTTACCCGTATAGACATAAAGCATGTTCTGTGTGGATTTGTTTATTTAAATGGCATTCCCCCTGTATATGGGAATGTTCTGGAACATCTGGATCCAGTTCTGGCTGACCTGCCACTTAGGCTCTGGTGAGGGGTAGTGTGAAAGGTGACAGCAAGAGGCTGTAGGTGTGGTAGCCAGGTGTGGTAGCACACATCAGGAGGTCCAGAACCAGGGAAACTGAGGCAGGAGGATCACGAGCCTGAGTGACTTAGTGAGACCCTATTTCTAAATATGCAAAGTAGGCAGTAACTCAGTTAGTTTACTGGTAGAGTGCCTGCCTACCATGTGTGACTGTGCGCGCGCGCACGCGCGCGCGCGCACACACACACACACACACACACTTTGAGGGTGCTGCAGGGGTACACACGTGCTTGAGGATCAGTGATACTTCAGCATGCTCACCGTGTTCATGCGCTGGTGAAATCACTGAGTTTACAATCCACCCATGCACATACACATTTATATATGCTGACATTTCACCTTTTCCCTTTCCACCTCACTTTCTAGAATGTGTCTGAGTGTGACAGAGACCATGCTGACTGATGAAGCCCTTAGATGTAGTCAAGAAGAAACTTGGCTTTATTGTGAATCTGCCCTTGGTAACTTTTGGCTTTTTTAACCCTCAGAACTCTCCCTAACGATGTGCCACCATTCCAAGACGATATTCCTAAGGAAAATCTCCCCTCACTTTCATCATATCCCCAGTCAGCATCGTACCCCAATTCAGATCGAGAGTGGTCCCCTAGTCCCAGGTAAGTTGCTTCTGTGTGTCAGAGGTTGCCTTTTCTGATCCAGAGGGTCTAGAAGTCAGCGTTAGGAAGCATGTCTCAGAAAACCCAGAAATAGAAATTAAAACTGAAAATCTTTAGGATCAGAAAATATGCCTTGCATCGAATCTAGACTCAATCTGCAGACATGTTGCAAGGCTCTGTGGGGAAGGCATACGGGAAGAAAGAAAAGCCTGCTAAGTTACCCAGTGCCCATTGGCAGCAGGAGAGGGCAGCACGGCCAACCTGGCCTTGGTCCTTAGCCCTGAAGTGGAGTTCAAACATAGGAACATTGCTGCTGGGGCCCTCTGATGTCACTCAGGACTGTTGTGGGGACGCTGCCTACAGCTAATCCACACTGCTGGGTTCAGGACCACATGTTTCCCTGAAATGCCCTCCCACTTGTCCTGGAGTGCCCATATGAACCCGAAAGCCCAGCTGCAGCCGCAGAGTACGCCTGACCTTCCTAAAGACTCCAGAGGCTCTCAGAGCCATGCCGCCTATGAGGTCAGGAGGGCCTTCAGAGTGCTTCTTCCCAGAGCCTAGGAAGGACATAGATCGAAATCCCATGCTCTCCATGGGACAGGCTTACCCCCGCTAGGGTGAAAACTGCTTGGTTCTTGGGTGGCAGACAAATCCTGGGCATATTGGTCTGTGGCCCCTAAGGGACCACAGCTTTAACTGTCGTGGTGGGTGGAGGACAGATTGTTAACTTGCTCAGGATGCTAGGGGCTGTGGAGGTAGTGGAGAAGATGCTGAGAAGCACATGGCTGTGCCATCTTTGGGCTGTCCCACCTGGTACTGTGGTGTACTTGTAGTTTAGAATGGCAGCGGCTGCACCCTGGGACTGTAGTGTGGGCTGCCAGCCTTGCCAAAGCACCCCTTTTGGTTCCAGTTTGCTCAGCGTCATCTTGAGAACGAGGCAGCAATGGCCAGCAGCGCGGGCTGTAGTGTAGTGTGTCCCATGCCTGATTCCAGCTTGGACTGGCAGGAAATGTGGTCTGCCAAGGGATGGGGGGGCTGCCTTTGTAGATATCAGCCCTGCCATTAGGAACCTATTGCTTAGCTACATGTATGTAGCTTAAACGTTTTCTGGTTTAACTTCTCTTCTTATTGTCATAAAATACCCCGAGAAAAAAACCTTAAGGGGAAAACAGTTTACTTTGGTTAACAGTTCAAGGGTCTGGTCTTTCCTGGCAGCAAAGTCAAGGCAGAGCTTGAGGCCGCTGGTCACAGGGCATCCACTGTCAGGAAGCAGAGAGATAAATGCGTGCCAGTCCTTCGTCCCCTTTCTCCTTTCATGGAGTCCAGGATCCCGCAGGGAATGGTGCCACCCACAGTGGGGTGGATCTGCCTATCCCAGTTAACCAAATCAAAGTAATCCTCCACAGCCCTGTCCAGGAGCCCATCTCCCGGGTCACTGTAGATTCTGTCCTGCTGACAGTTAACACTCAGCCACTACGCTTGCTCAGACGTGAGGAGCACCTCCTGCTTTCTAGAGGACCCGAGTTTGATTCCCAAAACACACGTTGGGTGTCTCACAACTGCCTGTAGCTCCTGTTTCAGGGATCCTGTGCCTCCTTCTGCTCTCTGTGGATACCTCTACATTCATCACACACACACACACACACACACACACACACACACACACACACACACACACACAAATAAACCTTTATAAAAACATGAAAGTAATTTCAAAGGTAGATTTTATTTGACCTATATTTTGTAGAAGTTTATTTAAAAACATTAGCAAGGTATTTTGAGCTGGGTGATGGTGGCATACAAATTCCAGCACTCAGGAGGCAGAGGCAAGCAGATTGAGGCCAGCCTGGTCTACAGAGCAAGTTCTAGGACAGCCAGGGCTCCACAGTGAGACCCTGCCTTGAAAAACAAACAAAACAAAACACAAAATCCATTAGTGAGATATTTTTAAGTCTTTAAGGTCAGTGACTCAGCGTAAGTCAGTTTCAGCTGGCCACATGTGAGCAGTGCTCTGTGTGTAGGACAGGATTTCTAAGATGCCTCATGTGTTCTTGTCTTGGCTCAGGGTAGATGACCCCTACAAAGAGAAAACCTAGGGTTTAGGAAGAAAACAAGGCAGGGTCTTAGGAAACTGCTAGCCAACTTAAAAACCAATTCATTAACCTGACGAACGCAAACGGAAAGTTTCAAACCAGCCCAGAGAATGTTTGTCTTTCTTTGCTTCACTAGTCCAGGATACTGGTAGTGTAAGATTGTGACGGTTGTTAAATGGATTATACATTAGGTTAAGTAGATACTCATGTCTACACTCAGAACGATGTGTTTTTGTTAAGGAGACCATAGACAGAACCCACATTCAAGTCTTTGGATCATGTAGTTTGATTCAGTGCCCAGCTTCAACCAGACATGGCCGATCTTGTCTTTGCTCAGGACACAGGATAAAATGGGAAGCCAATGGGTCTTTTGGCAGCTTCCTGTCTTTGCAACCCAGAAAGTTAATGTTCATGTCCGGGGGAGTAGCTCAAGTTAGGGGCATGCTTGCCTAGCATATGTGAAGTCCTGGCTTCACTCCCCACCACAGGGTAAAGCCAGGCGTAGTGATGCATGCCTGCAACCCCAGCAAGTGGGAAGTGGAGAAAGAAGAACAGTTTGAGGTCAACCTGGGTTACAGGAGACTCTGCCTCATGGAAGGTTCATGTTTATTTCCCACTGATCTCAACATAGACTCGCCTTCGCTGTTGAACAGCCAAATGCTTCCCCTTCTTAGAATTGTTATTACTGAGAGCTGCTGAAGCAGCCATAGGAGATTGCATTGAACTGACCTGTGATTTTTTTCTTCTTTCTTTTTGTTGTGCATCTTTCTGTGCCTCCAGCAGCCTGGTAGATTGCCAGAGGACTCCCCCTCACCTTGCAGTAGTGGCCGAGGGAGTTCTCTCTAGCTCTTGCCCTCCACAGTCTTCCCACTTCCGTGCTTCGGAAAGGTAGACCAGTTCTTACATAAGCCGTGATCTAACCTCTCTGTCTTACTTCCCCTTAACCCAGTGACTTGTGAAGAGCTTACTGACAGCTGATATGAAATAGAAAGTTTGATCTAATACATAAAATCAATTTTGTCACTAACCAACTTACTTATGAAAAATACGTATCTCCTTTCACTGTGAGCCATAAGTGATTAGTCTTGTCTATTTATTTGAAATTATTTACTTTCCGCGGGTATGAATGTTTGCCTGCATGTATGTTCGTGTATCACATGCATGCAGTGCCCTAGGGAGCCACAAGAGGGCGATGGACCCCCGGAACTAGCGTTGCAAAGGAAAATTTAAGCTGGGTCCTCTGGAAGAGCAGCATGTGCTCTGCACTGCTGAGATCTGATTGAACTGGTTCAGAATCCTTCTAGTGATCTACCTACCTCTCTGGGTGGCCTTGAAAGCCAGGACAGGGAACTTGAGACTGTTCAATCTTTCCTGTGGTGGGTCATTTGGCAGACAAGTCTGTAGGCTATTTTTAGAATGTCACTTTAGTAAATAAGTCAAGCCACTTACTATAAATATTTAAACGGCCTATTAGCTGTCTGCATAATGGATTCAGACACTCTCCCCAGCGTTTCTAGAATGGAATTTAGAAGAATGGCATCGGATGGGTCTTAGGGCGTAGATTTTTTTTTCTTTTTATTAGGATCAGGTGTCTGAGATTTTCCCTCTCATTCCCCAGTATTTGCTAACTTTGTGGACATTCCTCCTCCACTTTTATTATCAAAGTAAGCATTGATTAATTCCTATCTGGGAAACATAACTTTTACAGTTTCATTTGTCTTAAAACTTAAAATTTAATTTCACATTTAAGTATTTACTGACTCCAGCCCCCCAAAGAGAAAAAATGCCCTGTGGATTTTGTTTGTTTTGAAGCAGGATCTCACTAGTGTAGCCCTGGCTGGCCTAGAATTTGTTATGCAGACAAAGCTGGCTTGGAATTCAACGCAATCTGCCTGCTTCTGCCCCTTGATTGCTGGGGTTAAAGATGTGCACCGCCAGGCCCACCTCCCTTTCTCCACTGTGGCTTAAACTATTTTTAAGTGTGTGTGTGTGTGTGTGTGTGTGCGTGCGCATGCGTGTGCGTGTGTAGTATGTGTTATATGGGTCCATTGTAGAATTTCTCATGCTATGATATACCAGGAGCCTCCTCCCCCACAGACAGGGCTGGAACGTGAGGGTCGCTCCATGGCAGGGTGCTTTCATTGGAACAATCAGTGGTCAGGGGGCCAAGGGAAGGGGTCCTATACATCAGTGTGAAATGAGGGCCACACAGCCTGTAGTCTGGCTTTGGGGAAGTGTCAGGGCCAGGCTAGCTATGTAGAAAATCTCTCAGATAGATACAGGCTACATGTGGCTGTGGTATTGTGCGTACTGCCAAGGGACCTCTGCTTGTGGTGGCAGGAAATGCCATCTTGAGTTGGAGATGGAACTTGACTTAGATAAGTGCGACTCAGTGCTGTGGGAGGGGGGGGTGGGGACACAGATGGGGCAGCGGAGAAGCTGCCTCCTGCTTTGTGTAAAAGGCGGCCGTGTTCTCCTTGAGAAAGTGCTGGAGAGAATACAGAGAGAGGAAACCTGGGCGCCATCCACTTCTTCCTGCCTCTCAGATTGGTGTCTGAGGAGAGAATGTGGCCCTAAGTTGATTCTCATAGCCCATTAATCTGGCTGGATAGACACAGGACTTGGTTCAGAGCTAGATGTGAAACCGAGCTGTGTGGAAGTGAGGAGCATCGCCGTCCCTGCTGGCCTGAGACCGAGCAGTGTGCTGGGTCCACACAGAGCCTTTTGATGTGTTCCTGGAGACAGCTGCCTCGTGATCCAGTGTAATGAAGTTGGCACGCGAGATGTTTTCCTGTTCTCAAAGCCAGTGTTTAACCTGGGATGCAGCATCAACTGGCCGGGATCCTTTTGGCATGGCTGAAAGCTGAGCTGTTTGATAGGAAGATGGGAGCCTGAGGGAGTCAGGTGTGGCATAGGACAGCGTTTTGTGCCCAAGAGCCTCTCTCCTGCTTTTCTGCTCCCTTTCCCTCTCTGATTCTTCCTCCTCCTCCTCCTCTTCTTCTCCTCTTTTTTTTTTTTTTTTTTTTTTTTTTTTTTTTTTTCTTCTTCTTCCCCCCCCAAAATATAGCTCCTCATTTTTTCTTAATTTGGCTCCAAGGCTGGTCACCTTGTTGGACATGGTGCACACTGACCTCTGGTGGTCAAAGGAGGGATTGTCAGATGGGAACAGCAGCAGAGATCTATTTTCTGGGTTGCTGGAACTCTGGGACAAAAATTGGGACAAAGATTTTTTTTTCTCACTCGAATGATGGGTTTGTGTTTTCTTAAGTCCTTCAGGCTCCCGTCCCTCAACACCAAAGAGCGATTCCGAATTGGTCAGTAGGTCTGCAGACAAGTCCACACCAAAGAGTAACCTGGAAATGCTCTGGCTTTGGGGTGAATTGCCACAGGCTGCCAAGGTAAGCTTTTAATCTCCATTCCGCGGCACACTGAGGATTTCTGAGTTAGCTCTGACTGCATGGAGTTAGTAAACCAGCCTTGCAAAGGGATGTGCAGCTGGGGTTCTGACTCGGTGAATATGTGTATTTTGAACATACTCACTTCCAGTATGTGTTACAACTGACAGAGAAGGGGCAGGGCAGCCCCTTCTGGCAAGGTGGCTCTAACTGCAAACCTGTGACATTTGTTTTTCGTTGCGAGGGATCCAGGGATAGCAGATAGGGAGGGGCCTGCTGGTGAGCATCAGTTTCTGTTTTTCTACATTTTTCTGTCACTGTGGATCCCTGCATGGTAAACTCCCCTCTCGTGCAAGCCCATCACCACCAGGTCCTTGTCAGTCACTGTTTGGGGGAGAAGCTTTATTGAAATGGGATATATGTGTCTGGAGAGCTGCAGGTTTGACGTATGCAGCTTTGTACTTTGACAGTGTGTGTGTGTGTGTGTGTGTGTGTGTGTGTGTGTGTGCAGCCTGATCCTGGTCCCAGAGAGGCTATGGGTGGCCAGCAGCATGGAGAGCCTTACCCTTCTGAGCGCCCTTTTGCCCTGCAGGCACGGGGGCTGCTTTTGCAGGGCTTCCCCCTCCTCACTGCCCCGTTGTCCTGCATCTGTTCTCATTGCTGTAGAGTATCTCACCTGGCCCATCGTTCTCCTCCCTGCCCTCTCACTCCTGTTTGTCAGCTGATGTTTTCTTTCTTCCTGTGCTTTCTTACTTTTTACTCTTAGCCATAAACGTAACTGAGTTCTGCCTAGCCTCAGGAGAACAAGGGAAGTAAGGAAACCAAAGAGCTGCAGGGAGTGCACAGGGCTCGTGGGAGCTGGCAAGCGTGGGGTGGGGGTGGGGTGCTCCTCAGTACATCATGCACGCCCTGGTGGAGATGCCGTGCGTCAGAGTGCCAGCCATAGTGTCTTCTCACTTATCTTTGGTGTTGGACCCCAAGTGTCCACAGCTCCTACAATGCCCTGCCATTCCCCACAAAGACCATGTGTGCTGTCCAGCCCTCAGTCTTGGCAATGGAGGTGAAAGCCTGGGAGCCAGGTGTGTTTGGTGTGGCTTTTGCCGTGGGAGAGATAGGACACCAGGACTGTGCCGTCTGCGCTGGAAGCATGTTTGCTGTGGAAATTGTGTTCTCTAGGCAGGCATGGGACCCACCAGGCTGTTCTGGCGTTGAAGAGTCCATCACAAATCCTTAACTCTGACCTCTCGCCATTTGGTGCCTCAGCTTGGCTCTTTGCGGGGGCTTTCAACTCTCCTCTTTTTTTCTCTCCTTTTTTCTAGTCATCTTCTCCACACAAGATGAAAGACTCCAGTCCCTTAGGGAGCCGGAAGATTCCTGATAAAATTCACTTTCAGGCCATTCATAGTGAGTCTTCAGACACCTTTAGTGACCAGTCGCCAACACTGGCCCCGGGCCCGCTGCTTCACCAGAGCAAGGTGCAGACAGAAATGCAGTTTGTGAACGAGGAGGATCTTGAGGCGTTAGGAGCTGCGGCCCCACCGTTACCCGTGGCCGAAGAGCTCAAGCCCCCAGCTGCCAGCACAACACAGACAATGAACAAGACAGACTCCCCTTCCAGAAAGAAAGGTACAGAGCCGGCCTGGGTCTCCCAGCTTACCCCCAGGCTCGCAGCCCACACCAGAGGCAGTGCAGTCAGAAAAGACCCACATCCGTGCCGTCTGTCATGTTGAGTTTTTAATCTTTGCTCTCCTGCCAAGTGAGGAGATAGAGCCCCTTGTCTGGTGTGGGTCAGACTCATTTAGCACTGGTAGAGATCTTTCTGTTTCCCTGGCCTTGTCAGCTCACCAACCGTGCTGGCTAGTGATGCCGAGCCCCACCCTTGTCGATTGCGTTTGGGTGGGTCACTAGTCTAGGGGTTTGTAACCCACCCTGCAATCAGTTATTCCAGGGTCTCGGAGGGGCGCTACCTGGAAGGGAATGAGCTAAGACAGAAGAAGGAGGCCAAGCAGATTTGTCAAAGCCTGTGTTTATTAGGGACGGGTTACAGTTTATATATGGTAAGGAATGGGGGGCAGGGCATGGAATCTCGCCGCGTGGTCCCGGTCACGTAGGCCAGGTTACGTTCGGACAGGTAGGCCAAGAAGTCACAAGTTGCCACACCTGGTTCCCTGGATAGCTGGAATGTGAGGCGCGTTCTGCTAACAGATAAGTTAATTGGGTGAGGGGCAGGTTCTCAATAGAACATAATTATGGGTGTGGGGTTCTCTGCAGACCCCCCAGGCTGATGGTTCCTGTAATGATTTTTAGGGGGGAAATGGCTCGTGACACACCCTGGCTAGCCAGGTCGTGTTGTGCAACACCCTGGGTTTGCATGAACCAGCTACACAGTTCTCAGTAGGGAGAAGAGAGGAAGTCTGTGGACATGGTGCACAGGGACCCACAGCTGTAGGGATGCTGTGCCTCAGAGCATCCTGAGGGAAGTATTCAGGAGAGGACTTGTCATCCCCAACTAATAATCACGGTGATCATGGCCCTCTGTGCATGAGGGAGGCCTGAGGCTGAGTGCTTGTTCTCTCTGGACCAGGCGGAAGGGAGTGCTGGACCCTGCCGGTTCTGCAGTGATGTGCTTACCTGCTTCTCACTGTGTGGCTCTTGGGCTGGGGGTGGCGATGCCACCAGGGAGCAGATCTGCACTGTGGGTTCAGGTGCTCTTCCTGGGGATGGAAACTCGTGAGTTGATTTCTGACTTGCTCCTTGCACTCTTTCAGATAAGCGGAGTCGACACCTGGGAGCTGACGGCGTGTATCTGGATGACCTCACAGACATGGACCCTGAAGTGGCAGCCCTGTATTTCCCTAAGAAGTAAAAGTTGTTCTCATTGCTCAGCTACTTTATTCTTTGTTTTCGATAGAATCTCACCATGTAGTCTTGGGTGTCCTTGCACATGTGGTGGTCCTCCCGCCTCAGCTTCTTGATGGCTGGGTTTGCAGGGTTAAGCCGTCACGTCTGTCCCTGATAACCATTTTCTGTAGTTCGAGAAGAGCTCAGTTTATCTTGGTTGATAGTGAAGCAGGGGCACTAGAGGCTCATAGTTGTAACACCTGGGCACAGCCTCAGCTCCGTGTGCTGTGTCAGACTTGGGGTGTGTGTCTGTATGTGTATCTCTGTGTGTGTGTGGGGAGAGGTTAGGGTGTTGAGGGGGTAGGGGGAATGGAAGGACACACGGACTGCCCTCTACCCTTTTTTTCAGGAATGTGAGCTCAGTGCTATCTCATGAAGGAGTCAGAGGCTGGGTTGCTGTGACCAGTGCACAATCCAAGTGAGAGACCTCCGTATGGTCCTCCTTGGAGGGAGTCACTCCGTGCTTGGAGCACCCAGCCTTAGCTCCCCTGGGATACGGTACACGGGGCAGGGGCTGCCAGTGGATAACAGTGACATCCCAGGCACAGGCTTTCTCAAGGTTTATATGGGTCTGGAGAGTCACAGGAGATTGTGGCAGGCCCTTCTGAGGTGGCTCATTTGACTTTGCTGTCTTTACTGATGTTTTGATGGCAAAGCTGCCCGAGGTGCTAGTAATTGCTTCTCTGAGGTGTTGTGGCCTTCTGGAGGGTCGTTTGATGTAACAGTCAGAGTGAGGATGGATGGTGGTGCTCAGAGCAGCTTCTCTTTCCCCTCCTTTCAGTGGTGATCCTGCTGGGCTCCCCAAACAAGCCTGTGACAATGGAGCCAGGTCAGCCAACCAGTCCCCACAATCTGTGGGCAGTTCGGGCATCGACAGTGGTGTGGAGAGCACCTCGGATGGCCTGAGGGACCTGCCGTCCATAGCCATCTCCCTCTGCGGTGGCCTCAGTGACCACAGAGACATCACCAAAGGTACTGGACTCTATGGGACAGCACCCTCTAGTGGTCGTTGGGTAGAAGGCCCTGGAACTGAGGCGTCTCATGGTTTTGGTTGATGAGTGCACAGAAGGTTCGCGTTCTCTTGCCCCATACGTGTCCAGCTGCAGTTAGCTGTCCTTAGAATGCAAGGACAGGGTGCAAGGGCCATCAGGAAGCAAGAATGCTGCTGAGGCATTTATCCTCGGAGGTGATCATTGAGCACAGTCGGGTGCCGCCTGTGGAAGTGACAGCTCAGAATGAAAGGGATCCTGGCAGTCGGGAGCCCAGTGTTCCAGCTCCGGTGGACGAGGGCTCTTGGGTCAGGAGCCAGAGGATAATAGCACAGGCCACAGTAAGCTCAGCAGCTTACAGCTCTGCTCTAGGGAAGGCTTCCCCAATGTGACAGCTCTGCTCCCCCAGGAGAGGGCTTTGCAGTGATGTTGTTACAGCCGGGGAGTGTAGCAACTCTGCTGTGCTATGGGAAGGTTTTTCTGCTCAGCTCAGCTCTGACTTCCCCCGCAAAGCTGTAACAAGCTGCTATGGGAAGGTTTCCCCAACCAAAGTGTGACAGTCCCGCTCTGCTCTTCTCTGCTCTGCCCTTCACCCAAACCTCATTCGAGAGATTTATTGTGAGGGAAGAGTCCAGGAGAGTGGTTGCCTCTACCAGGATGGAAGAAGAGCAGCCGCAAACTGAACAGGTCCAGGGCATATATATAGGGGCGGAGTTTTTCCAGGGAGATGAGGGAGTGGTTAGTTTTTCCCTGCTCAGGGATTGGTCAGTTTAGTTGGTTAGGGGCAGAGATGGCTGATCTCAAAGCCAAACTGTTTCTTTCACTGGCCTTTTTAAGCTTTTTGGCTCTAGTTTTGAAGCCAGGGCGTATTTCTTCCACTGACTTTGATTCTAGGGACAAAACGTGTTTCTTTGGCACGGGTTTCAGAGTCAGGACAAGTTTCTTTGGTTCTGGGTTCAGGGTTAAAGTATGTTTTTTACTGGCTCTGGTTTCAGAGCCAGGGTGGATCTTTGACAGCTCTTTTACCCTATACCCTGTGCCCAGGCCAGGCCTGAAGAATGTTCATGGTGAGCCTGCAGGTGTGGGGAGGAGGGGAGGGTGAGTTAGGCATATCAGTCTTCCTATAACAGAACGTTGGGTGTTTGTCAAATCTGTGGGGCTGTAGAGGAGGGAAGGGAGGTTGAGTCAGTATGGGGAACTCTGCAAACGTTTCCCCTCTGGGTGTTAGAGGCTGCTGTGCCGGTAGGCCTTGATGACTTGTGCATTCCACCTGCCATACTGGAATGTGAGAGCTGACCATCTTGTGATAGGTCCATGGTGAGTGGTGCCTGAGACCCCCCCCCCCCCCCCGCTGGTGTAACAGCAGCTGTGGGCTGTTGAATTCCAGAACTAGACCTAATTTCTCTCTACCCCCTTTTCCCTCCACCACTGCTTCCTCTGTTTTTTAGCAGGGATTGACCATGCTCTTAGCGACTGCACTATTTTATCTCCCTGCTCCAGTGATCACTGTGAAGTCCCCTGAGGCTTTGCAGACTTCTTATGCGCATACTGGGTCCTCTTATTCCAGCCTCGGTGCCACCAGCCCTTCCTCGCACCTTGTTCCTTTTATCCTTCGCACTGTCTAAGACCACAGCTCTGACCACTGGGTCTGCTATACTCCTGAGCATGGGCAGCATCAGGCCTTACACCGTGCTGGCTCCCACCTTTTACATAGATGACAGTGATCAAGCCCTCACTTTGAGCAGGATGCTGTCTGCCATCCTCTCCCATCTTTGGGACCCCCTGGGAAGTGGCCATGACCATCAGGCAGATGCTGAGGGGGAGATCATTGAGGTTAGACTCCAGTCACAGGTCTCCACAACAGAAGTGACTCAAGCCAGTGCCCCTGGAGAACATGACTGTTTGTGTATGCAGGCTCCATGCCCCACATGTCTGCTGATGTGGGAAGAGGTCCTTCCCCACTCTCGTCCCAGGCACGTAAATACAACAACAAAATAACAACAGAAAACCAAGCTCAAGCCCTCTTTACAAGTGCATTTTGTAGGATCTCTAGGCTTGTCCGAGGAACTGCAATTTGTAAACTCAGACAGACACATGGGAATGAGCAAGCTGAAAACTGTCCTGTTTCTCTAAAAAACTCGTGATTTCTCTTTCCCCCCATCCTGCTGCTGCTTCTGCAGATGCGTTCCTGGAGCAGGCTGTGTCGTATCAGCAGTTTGCAGACAACCCTGCTATCATCGATGACCCCAATCTCGTGGTCAAGATTGGTAATAAGTGAGTTCCTGCTGACAGTCCGTTTGGTAGTGGAATGGAACTGCTTCTGTCGAGCCTTAATGAAGTCTTGTTAAACTTAGTTATTGTCTTTATTATTTGTAAATTTCTATGTCCACTTGCAGCTGCTGGGCTAGATCATTTTGAGAGTCTTGTAGTGTGTGTATGCGTGCTTGTGGAGACCAGAGGTCCACATTGTCTTTGATCACTCTACCTGTTTTTCTTCTTTGGTTTTGGTTTACTCTTTGAGGTAGGGTCTCTCTATGTAGCCCTGGCTGTCCTGGAACTCTGTAGACCATGTTGGCTCCAAACTCACTGATATCTGCCTGTCTCTGCCTCTATAGTGGCTGGGATTAAAAGTGTTTGCCACAGTGCCCGGCCTTCTACCTTAGTTTTTGAGACAGGGTGTCAAACCACTGAACTGGAACTTGCTGGTTTGGCTTAATTGGAAGACAGGCAAGTCTTAGGAATCCTCCTGTCTCCATCTCCCAGCACTGGAATGACAGGTCTGTGCTGTAGGCCTGGCTTTTCAGTGTGGGTGCTGGGGATCTGAAATCAGGGTCTTAGGTTTTCACAATGGCAGGCCCTGCATCTACTGAGCTAGCTCTCCAGCCCCACCTTGTGGGTATTAGTATGTGTCTGTACCAGACCTTGAAATCCACCTTGTCAGGCCTGGTGCTCCAACTGTGGAACTCTGACCCTGTCTAGTCCTAGGTCTGAGGACATGGCTGCCCTGTAGCACAGAGACCTCACCATTGGAGCTCAGTCTGTGGTATGCAGTGAGTGGCTCTGAAGACTGTTGGCAGACTTTCCTCCTGGAGAGGAAGTTGCAAGCGTGCTATGAGTTGGCTTGGGAGGTTATGGAGTTGTCTGTCCCCTTTCCATGAAGTTCAGTAGGACATGGCTAGTAGTAGTCAAGCAGGGGACTGTCCAGCTAGTGACTAGCTGCCTGGCATGTTCATATGTTCACCCTACTGCTGTCTGCTGCTGACCCTTCACCCTCAGCATGGCTGTGAGGTGAACAGGAGAAAGGGAGGCACTGTGTAGATAGATAGGGTCAGTGTGGAGGGCTGGGAGGGAGGAAACACACTGGGTTTGTTAAAGGATCTCACTGGGCTCCCCAGCCTTTCTATAGCACTCCAGATTACAGTAGAAAGGCTGGCCCTGCCTCACTGATGCCATCTCTTTGTCTTGTTAGGTATTACAACTGGACAACAGCAGCTCCTCTGCTTCTGGCGATGCAGGCTTTCCAGAAACCTTTGCCAAAGGTGAGCGCCAACACAATTAAGAAAGGGGGCCCAAGGAGGAAGGGGGGAATGGGAGGATCACAGTTTGATTTGACTTTAGAAACCCTAGGCCATGGTATCTTGATGCTCACAACAGTGTTCCAGATCTCTTGTGTGTTGATCATGCTTCCCGTGCTCACCAGAGCAAACCTCAAAAATCATGGCATTGTAGACCCACAATCCCACTATGTGCTGGGATTACAAGTCGGCATAGAAGGGGCAGACACCAGAGTGCAGAACCGAGTGAGGCTGAGGAGAGAAAGTTTAGTTGTGGAAAACTGGGAGCTGGCATTGGGTCAGATGCAGGAGCTGTCACTGTCCTCAGGCCTTGCTAAGAAGCCAGCCCTTTGCCTAGTTTGTGGAGGCAGGGGTGAGGATAAGGGAGGCAGGGGTGAGGATAAGGGAGGCAGGGGTGAGGATAGGGGGAGGATGATGGGGAACCAGAGGCGAGGGTGGGGAGCCAGGGATGAGGATGGGGGCAGGGGTGAGGATGGAAAGGCAGAGGTAAGGATGGGAGGAAGCAGGGGGAGGTAGGGCTGAGGATGGGGGATGCAGGGGTGAGGATGGGAAGGCAGAGGTGAGATAGGGAGGCAGGGGTGAGGATGGGGGAGACAGGGTGAGGATGTGGGAAGTAGGGCTTAGGATGGGGAGAGGCAGAGGTGGGGATGGGGGAGGCATAGGTGAGGGTGGTGGAGGTAGAAGTGAAGATGGGAAAGCAGGAGTGAGGATGAGGGAGGTAGAAGTGAGGATGGGGAGGATGGGAAAGGCAGGGGTAAGGATGGGGGAAGAAGGGGTGAGGATGGGGAAGGTGGGGTAAGGATGGAATGGCAGAAATGAGGACGGGGAGGCAGAGGTGAGGATGGGAGGAGGCAGAGGTGAGGATGGGGGGTGAGGCAAGGCTGAAGATGTTGCTTGAGAAACTCAGGGCTGCATGTGAGAATGAGGTGGCTGTATGCCAGAGCTGAATGAGGAGGTCAGACCCACCAGTTCATCTCCTCCTCTGCTTGCTCATTTCTTCATGTTCCATCTTCCCCGTACAGTATGGACCCATTCTTTGGGCTGTGGAATCACAGTTTTAGACTGGTTTGTGCTTGGCGGCCATGCTGTTGCAGTCTGTCAGGTAGTTCCAGAGTTTTAGGTTCTTGGAGGTCAAATATCAGTGTTTAGCCTGAGTGTGTGTGCTGTAGATTGGGAATGGTGACCCTGTGTTTGGGAGTCCTTTTTTGTATCTGTGGACCTGTCTTGAGGCGTGGTCTGTAAAATGATTTTTGTTACATTGTTGCCAGGTTCCTTCTTGTAACCACAGCCCAGGATATCGTTTTTAAGGCTCACAAAATAGTAAAGAGAAAAAGAGTTAAGGGCAATAGAAATGTAGTTTACAGGGGAGGAGGCACACAGGCTACAGCACAGTCCCTGAGGGCTGTGATCTCATGGGTTAGGGGTTTGGGTTTCTGCTAACGGTGTTTCTCTAACATGGAAATGATTTTCTATGTAGCATTTAGTCTGTATTATACATTGATGGTGCATTTAAAATGGTCTTGCATCTTCGTTTGTATTTTCTTCTAGTCCTTCCTTTTATTTTAAATCTTTGATCCATCTGTATTTTGTCTTGAGAGTAATTGAGGGAGATTTGGGCACTCAAATTGCTCCACTCAACATGGTTACTGAGTAGGATCCTTTTTGTTGTAGGGAATATAACTAGTAGCTTAGATACTTAGATATTGTGGGTTTAGTGTCTTACATGATACTAGAGGTAATGGTTGGCAGGTTGCGTGACTGCTCTGTGACTTTTGGTGACCCTGCTTCACACATCTCCTTACATAACGACATCTAGAGTTGGGATGGGGGCAGGTCAGGCTCTTCATGTTCCTTTGCCCAGCATTTGATCGCTTCTGAAATGGCCCTTGGCAGAGCCATGGGACGATCGTGAATGGAGCAGTGCAAGTGGCGTTTTGTCCCAGGAACTGAGTCCGCCTTTCTCTGAAAGCCTCCCTGAACACATTGCTGCCTGGTTCTGGACCACAGTTTGGAGGGAGGTGGGTGCTCGACTTACAGGGTCCAGAACAGTTGAAAGTCATCTCAGGATTACCCTGGTGTCCCTCGGTGTGGATCTCAGGATTACCCTGGTGTCCCTCGGTGTGGATCTCAGGATTACCCTGGTGTCCCTCGGTGTGGATCTCAGGATTACCCTGGTGTCCCTCGGTGGTGGCTTTCTGCTCGATGCCTGGTGGTGGCTGCTCCGTTTATCTGTGAATTTAGGTTCATTTCTTAATTTGAACTTTAGATTTCCTCTTTCAGTGAAGTTTGCTCATAACCCGACATTGGGTTTTTAAGATCACTTGTAGACTTAACACCCTGTAGGACTAGCGTCTACTTGCCATAATCCTGTCCAGGAGTTTTCTTTGCTGTTTTTGTTTGCTGACTCTTCAAAAGAACCTTAGATTCTGCCTGGGGCTTGTTATCTGTGGTTGGATTTGGTGGGGGAGGAGAAGGGGAGTGGACAATAGATTTGTGCTGTCCCTGAACATCTTATGCATGATTTGCATTTCCCTGGGCCCCTTTGTCTTCTGTGCCAGTGGATGAGCTTTGAATATGAATTGCTTATTTGAGGCTTAACCTGTGAAGCATCTGTCTAGCTACTTAGAATCTGTCTAAAAGGGAAGAAGGAAAATCATATAACATTTACCTGGGCCCTAAAATAGCCTGAAGGCAGATGTTGTTCTTGGGAATGTTTATAAAATTAGCATTTCATACTTAATCTCCCGCATTACACTGTGATGTATTCAAGCTGTCCATTTGGATTTTATTTTTAACTCTTGATTTTTAAATCAATTTGCTAAAGTTTAGTCGGTTGAGCTTTGGAGACATGCTTACCTAAAACAACAACAACAGCAAAAGCCTGTATATTTTGTTTACGGCTGTTGGACCCTACACCGTATGGTCATGTTTTGCTTCCTGTTTTATTTTATCATCATCATACTGTGGCTAGTGGCTTTGTAATCAGTTAGCTATTTTAATTTGAAAACTTAAGATCTACTAACCACTAATGATTTCTAATGCTTTCTCTCCTGTTGTTATTGTGTTGTATTTTGTTTGTTGTTCATTGGTTCTTTTCCCATCTTCTTAAGTCTTCGTGCCTCAGTTACCTTCACGTGATTTTGGACGCCATTAGGTTTTGCCTTTCTAAAATTTTCAGTCCGCCCACAGTATGTTGCGTTACGTTTTATTTATTATTTATTTCTTCCGCCTCCTTTAATTTGCAAGTACATTTTCTTTTGTTTCGAGTGTGCTAAGTTGATGCTTTTTTTCTTTTCCTTTCCCTTTTTCTTTTCTTTTTTTCTTTTTGGTTCCATTATTTATGTTACCATCCATTTAAAACAGGCCACTGTGGAATCCATCATGAGAGATAAGATGCCCAAAAAGGGAGGAAGATGGTGGTTTTCCTGGAGGGGAAGAAACGCCACAATCAAAGAAGTAAGTGGGGAGCGTGGCGTGGTGGTTGCACTCGGCGCATTTTGGTTTTGTGTAGTCAGGTTTGCTTCTTTCAGCTTGTGTGAGTGAAATGAGTGCCATAACACTGGGTTTCGGCGAGCTGGCCCTCCTGGAGAGGGGACAAGAGCAGAAGGCAGATGAGGAAGAGGGGGGCAGCAGAGCTTGGCTCTGCCACCCTCTGCCTGCAGCCCCAGGTTGAGTTGTTTTTCCACTCTGGGGTTTCTGTATCAGTAAAGAAGATGTACTAGGTGCATTTCTTGTTCTGGGACACAACACCTGGCAAAAGCCACTTAGGGAGGCAGAGATTTAGAGAGTATGACCTGCGACGGTGGAAACGGGAAAGGAGCATGATCCAGCCGCTCACATCTGCCCGCAGAAGCGGTGAGGTAAAGCCTGGTGCTGGGTTGGCACTCACCCCTGTCTTCAGTCCAGGACCTCAGTCCATGGAATGGTGCTGCTCACAGTCAGGGTGGGTCTTCTCAGATCTTGTCACATTGACAATATTCACCACCACAGAAGGGTTCCCACATAACATAGGTTTTAGAATATGTGATGTTGGTGAGGGTAATGCCAGTGCGTCTTAGCATGGCTGTTGACTCAGCCTCCTTAGCCACGTCTCTGAAGGCACAGGCTGGATACATGAGAACTTGTTTGTGATCTCTGAAAGGCCTCTCTCCATCTCTCAGCCCTTGTTTGGCCTCCAGCTCCGTGTTCTCCTAGCTTTTCGCTTCCCTCTTAATGGCTCCTCCCCTGACCAGCCCCTCAGTGGATCTTAAGGCCCTCTTTTCGGCTTTCACCTCTTGGTTTTCCCTAATCACCCACAGGCCCTTTGGAATGACTCCATTTCTTATTTTCACACCAGACAAATCAGGCAATTGTTTGTACTCTATACCCATTTATCACTTAGCCAGCGAAGCAGAAGCATCAAGGCATGAAGTCAGAGTTGCTCTCAGGAACACTTAGGGCTTTCTTTTGTTGAATGACCTTAGCATCCTATAGTACCTGGGTGTTCTAGCTCTGACCTCTCTTGCTAGTACTGTCATCTCTTTCCGTCTGCTCTTTAGTATAGTTGATCAAAATGGAATCTACCTCAGGGCCTTTGCATATGTTACAGTGTTGTCAGGATTCCTTACATCTCCCTTCACGTAATTGACCAACAACTCAACTCCTCCTTTTATGCAGGTTAACCTGGTTTACCATCTCTGCTTGCATGGGCCATGACTTTGTCTTTCATGCATTTTGTCAGGATTTGTAAATGCACTCATTAGTGAGACTGCTCGACTAACATTTCTCAGCTCCTCCACACCTTGAGATCCTCAAAGGCAGAACCCACGCACAGCTTTGTTTGCTGTGGAACGAACGGTGTAGGGTGTAGGGGTCTGGTGTGTATTTATTGGACAGCTGCTTCCAGAGGAAGCATGAAAACCAGCGGCCATGTAAACCATCCAGAAACATTTGTGGGCTCACCTGAGTCTGTGGAGCCAAGGGAGAAGGTGCCTTAAGCGCTGTGTGCAGATCAGATTGTCCTTTGACACGCTGCTGATGCGTCTGCATGCTGTTACCTGCTGCATTACCTCTAAGGGTCTCAGCGAGTCAGGATGACATGGATGCTATCCTGCAGTAGACTTACAGCCATAAAGGGCTAGTTCATTAGCTAGAGGACAGAAGGTTCTAGAATTTCAGGCAGAAATCCATTTCTAAGACCTCTTATTTGTAGGGTATCTAGATTCTCAACAGTTAGAATTGAGGGGAATGCCAGTATAAAGAAAAGAATGTTTATGGAATTAAATATTTCTCTAAAGAATGCAAATACAGTTACTCATACAGATCCATATTTCTGAACTAGCTGAGTGAAAAGTTACCTGTGGCAGCCAAGTCACACAGTTAAATCCTTCGGTTGATAATGAATGAACGGTCACGGCAGTTGCTTTTGTTCTTATGGAAGCAAACAGCAGCTGGACGTGGTGATGCAGGCCTTTAACTTCAGTACCCAGGAATCAGAGGCAAGTATTTCTGTGAGTTCAGGACCAGACAAGGCTTCATATGAGGCCCTGTCTCAAACACCAAACCAAACCAAACCAAACCAAACAAAACACACACCCTTCCCCCCAATCAATCAGAAACAAACAAAATGCCAATCAAGACCCCCAAAGCAAACAAAGTGGACAGAGTAAATCTGGGCATGGCATTGTGAGCCTGTAATTTTAGTATTCAGGAGGCAGAGGCAGGAGAATTGCCACAGGTTGGAGGCCAGCTCAGGCTACGTACATAGTCATTGTCAGGTCAGCTAGGACTTACATAGCAAGACCCTATATCTAACCAACCAACCAGCCAACCAACCTAGCAGCCAGCCAACCAACCAAGCAGCTGAAGGCATATTTCAAACTAGTCCCTAGTCTCATACTTTAAGATATTCACTATTACTTTATGTGACAGACTCTTACAGAGCTCCACTTACCTTGAATTCATAGCTGTCCTCTTGTCTCAGCTTCCCCAATGCTAAGATTATAGGCATGAGCCACTGTACTTAGTTAGCCTACCTTGCTTGCTTTATTAAAAATATGACATTGGAGGTCATTAACCTGTTTTTTTGACTAAAGGACATACACAAAGTGATTTTATTGTGTCTCCTTCATCCCCCAACATGCTCTCTGGCCTCTTTTGACTCAGTGGTAGTTTGCTGGTCTGTCCTGTTTCCTCCCTCACTTCCCTTCCCCCTCCCCCCTCCCCTCCTCCCTTTTCCCTTCCCTCCCTACAGTGCATCAGGCTTTCTGGCTTATGGATCAGTAGTCACTGCTCAGCATCCTCATTCCTGTTTGAGAAGTGAGGAGACAAAGCTCTGAACAGTCAGCAGGATGTCCTAGGGTTCCCAAGCCAGAGCAGTGGTCTGGGCCCTCTCCTGGATGCCCAGGGAACATTTCCCACTAGGATTACACAGCATCGGAAAAGATAAATGCTTTCTCATTTTCCCCGAGAAAAATATGGCATGCAAATATTTTCGAACATTTCTATTGGCAATTAGAAGAAAATATTGTGAAAACCCTCAGGAATTCAGGCAGCCACCATTAAAGCGTGTGTCTCTGTGACAGGGATGATGACGTTTGGTTGGGTGCCAGGAACACTTATGGATAACTAACAGACTCATTTCTGTCAAAAAGGTTTCTCAGTTTAATCTTACGATATTTCTAGGCAAAGAAGTAATGGGGACCTGCCATAACACAGACCCCTCCAGAGCCTCCTGGGTGGGAGTCCTCAACCTGGGTGTGTGCCTTTCCTGTCTTGCCCTGGGCCTTAGGGAGTCCTGCAGTGGGACCCAAGCTTTTGGGAGCATCCTTTCTCTTTCCTCCTTCTCTAATGGCTTCTTTTCTTTTCCTCAGGAAAGCAAGCCCGAGCAGTGCCTGCCAGGGAAGGGCCACACTACGGGAGAGCAGCCTGCACAGCTTGGCCTAGCCCCCAGGTACAGGGGCAGGGTGTCCTTCTGGCAATGGTGCCATTCCTTTCTTGAACTGAATTAGGGTCATGTGCATGCCCACTGGACGCTGATGAGGTCAGCCAGTGGCTCACGTCTTAGGCCTCAGTTCCCACTGGATCTGAAGTCACCACACTAGGTGACGGAGGCCTGGAGCAGTTTGTTTAACTGGTCTTTCTCGTTTCTCCGGTGTGTGCAGCTTCTCTCTCAGACAGTTGAGGTTCAAGGTATATGTGAGTCTCCAAGGAGCTACTTAGCTAGAATGTCTCCTATGATCCTAGCATGTTTTTTTTTTTTTTTTGTGTGTGTGTGTCTGTCTGTCTGTCTGTCTGTGGGTATGCTCATACACAAGTGTACTTGCCTATGCGTGTATGTGTAAAGGTCAGAGGTCAACACACTGGACTCTTGCTAATCCAATGGGAGCTTCCTTGTTTGCTGGTTCATTTACAGGGGAAGCTGGCTAAGGTTTCTTGTCCCTTGGTTCCAGGCCATAGCTCTGCCCTTTAAAGGATGTCTTTAGAGGCCGGGTCTCCCCCTGACCTCAGGGCTCCCTGTTTCTGGTAGGCTGCCTGGCCATTGAGACCTTGGAATCCATCTGTCTCCACACCTGCCTCCCACCCTCAGCAATGGGATTACAGATGTGAGCCACTGCACCTGGCTTTTGAGTGGGTGCGGTGAGATCCCCACTCAGTTTCTCGTGCTGCATAGCGAGCGCTTTACCGACTGAGCCCTTTCCAGTCAGCAATAGTTAGTCTGTCTTCGGGTCAGTCTCGTCTCTATATGCCTTGACTCTGGGTGATGTCACTGGAACAGAGGTTGACATGGGACAGTCTGTGCCAGTATCACACTGACATGTCAACATCTCGACCTTTGCTGTCTTCCTGCTCCTGCGGAACCCGAGACTGAGTTAAAACGAGGACAGAGTCACTATGGGTCCCATTCACACCTTCCTTATTTTAGTGCTCTGAGGCCAAGGCCAGGCCACTTACACCTGGGCGTGTTGAGAACACTGAACTCTGCCTGAGCCGATGAGGGCTTCCCTGCATGTTGGTTTATTCACAGGGAAAGCTAGCTTAGGCTTCTTGTCCTCTGGCTCCTGGCCACAGCTCTGTACCTTAGATTATATTTCTGGAATTCTCTGTTGGAAGTAGAAACTTGTGCCTCTGGTAAGGGAGCATGTACTTTGTAGAGCACTAGTTGGGGGGTGGGGTGGGGTAGAATTGAGGACTGGGGAGTGTTCTGCATGGTTGGGCTGTTTCTCAGCTCACGTGATCCTGAAGCGGGAGGATTCCCATTTTTGCTGCTGGTGTTCAGGTGGTGGGTTTGCTCCTGGCCCTGCTGTTCTGTGCTCTCTTCTGCCCTTTCCTGGAGTGGGTGAGATGCCCAGCAGTGTGAGCCTCAACACTGTCTTTGTGGCATTCTGGTCAAGCGTTCTGTCTGTGCAGTATGGAACAGGGGTGGTGTTAGATCGCCTCCCTGTGGTCTTTGATTCATTAGGATGCCACTCTGCTCCACCATCTCTGAGTCAGGACGAGAGACCCTGGCGTCTCTTTTCCCCTGCCACCTTGCTGAATGCTCACAGTGACCCTGGCAAGGTGATCCGAATGCACAAGCCCACCAGGCCAGACCACAGACACCTGAGGGACATGTGATCATCTTAAACTGGGCATTCTAGACTATTTTAAGACTTATTGCATGGACCAAGTACTGGGTATTTTCCGAACTTAAACTGCTGCCCACAGGCCAGGCCTAGACCTGAAGAGATGGTCCCTGAGGCCCAGCGAGCTGTTACAAAGCATGGGTTGTGACACCTTGGCAAAGGGGTTGGACCCAGGACATGGTGCCACCATTGTTCCTGTCACCACATTCATTCTTTCTATTTCTGGCTGTGGAGGAACTCAGGGACCCAGGGCCGGACTGAGGGTGGAGGGACAGCAGGACACTGTGGAGCCCTTCTGAGCTGAGCACAGCTCTGGAAGCTTATGTCTGCTCTGCTGGGTTTTCCTCCCGTCTGCCTGTGGAGAAGTGCCTTCCTGGTAGGGAAAGCAGCCCCACTCTGCCCCATTCTGAATTATGCTTACCAAACCTGAACAACTGTACGTTGGCTCATGTGTGACGGGATCAAGGTTCTGGTATAAGTGGGAGTTCTCTGGAGGAGTGTAACCTCTTCATGTATGGTGGCACCCTTGACATCCAGTCTTATCAGAGTCACATAGATGACTTAAAAAAATTGGCATCAGAATGTTTTCCTAATTGGCAGACTTGATTGACAGAACAGTCCCCAAAGTCCCATAATTGAGCAAACAGCTTGTCACCACACAAATAATTAAAATGCCATTTAAAAAATGTGCACTGTGACAAGCGCTAACTTAAATGTTGCTCACAGTTCCTCATCTGAACACAGATTTTCAACTGACTTGGGGCCTTTTGTCGCCATTTGCAGCCACTGTAGAACAAGTGACATTTACTGAGTTGGTTCAAGCGGGATGTGGGGGCTCTGGCTAGGAGCACCCTGTTCCACCCAGGGTGGTGAGGTCTTGGAAGGTGGCAGCCTCTACTGGCTGTCCCTGTGCCTGTCAGAGAACTGGCGGCAGCCAACTGTACAGTTCCCATTTTTGTTTTCGAGTGTTTCCCTTCCTACTTTCCTCCAACATGGCATGCCACATGAATTTAGCGGCAGATGGAAATCACAGCCATTCCGACGTGCACGCTCATCCCCTCCGGCAGAGGCACACATCAAGCTGTTGTTACTCAGGGCCGCGAGTTTGTTTAGATCTCATTTTGCTTTAGACTGCTTGGAGCAGGAAGGGGTTTCCTCTTGAGCCAGGGCCTCCAGCCCATCCTGCCTGAGGAGAGCCTTTGTCGGGAGCATTTATCATGGGACTCGGGCTCCAGGACTGGGGTTGCCTGTCCAGAAACCTCTAGGATGTCGGTTCAGAAGGACTAGTGCTCCTGGTGGGATCTGCAGATACTGGAACAGGAAGGGACTTTGGTTGAGCTTTTATGGCGGCGCTGACTGAGGCACAGAGAGGATTCCTCTGTTGTCAGTCATTCTCCCCACAGTTCACTACCACAGCCTGAGTTTTGGCGGGGTGGAATTCAATATGTTCTGGACCTTAGAATGAAGGAATTCATCTTAAGTAGTGCAGTGTGTGTTTCCTTGAGCTGGCAACTTTGGGTTTTCAGATCATAGCTGCTGTCTACACCCTGACTCACACAGACCACAGGTCTGCCTCAGATAACTGGATTGCAGCCCATACATAGTCTGTCTCCATTGACATGGCTGCTGATCCCAGAATTTATTCACAAGCTTTGTGACTTCCAAGAGCACTCCTCCAGTGCTGGTGGCTGTGTGGTCATTCATTTTTTAAAAATTTTTTTAGGCAAAAACCTGAAGAGAGCAGGGATGACTGGACTATGTTGTCTGCTTTTTTCAGTATCTGGCTCCACACAGAAGTGGGGGTGCTGTGTGAGTGTTCCCTATGACTCCTCAGTCCTGAGCAGCATCAGGCTGTATAAATCACTTTTTGAGCCATGGTGGGAAAGCTTGTATGGGAGGCTCTCTGCGTGGCCGTAAGGCAGGCCAGGAAAAACGGAGGCAGGAACAGGCTGGAAGGAGACGGAACACTCCCTGAGCCAAGGAAGGAGGAGAGCCGTGTGCGTGTTGTCTGTATAAAGGGGTATGAAAGTGCTGTGCCGGTTGATTTATTTATTTTTGTCCACTTGACACAAACCTAGGCATACCTGGGAAGAAGGAATCCTAACTGAGAAAATGCCTTTGTAAGATTGCCCCATAGGCCAGCCTGTAAGGTATTGTCTTACTTAACGATTGATATGGGAGGACCCAGTTCACAATCGGCAGTGTCATTTATCCCTGGGCCGAATAAGCCACGCGGAGCAAGCTAGTAAGCAGCGTTCCTCTCTGGGCTCTGCTTCAGCTCCTGCCTCCAGGTTCCTGCCTTGAGTTATGGCTCTGCTTCCCTCAGTGATGGAGTGTGACCAGACAGTGCGAGGCTGAAATAAACCTAACCTATCCTCCCCAGGTTGCTTTTGGTCATTGTTTTATCACAGCAGTAGAGAGACCATCAGGGGCATGCCTGCTTTGGGGGCAGTTGGCTTTTTCCATTCAGTCCAAGCCATTAGCAAGTACTTTGCAGGGTGCTATGACTTGGGAGGCAGAACAAGTACTAGGTTGGAGGATGAAGCCGTAGAATTGAACTCAGGGGGAAGCTAATTTGCTGGCTTGCTTTCTGTGAGACATGTAAAAGACGATGGTCCTGAGCCTTACCCTGCCTCCCAGCCTCAGCCTGTAGGAGCCCTTAGAAGAGCTGCAGCAGTGGTCTGTGGATTCTGTGACTTCTAGGAGTCTTGGGGGCAGGGGGTGAACCGCCAGTTTCTTAGGTCCTTAGGTCTTCTTAGGTCCAGGAAGAGCCCTAATTGTTTGGAGTTGGATATGTGGAATTGATGAAATTGGATAGAAGAGAATTGATGGTGTTTGGACTGTAGACATTTGGACTCTCAGGGCTTGGCCCACAGCCTTCAGTGGAAAGAGAAGAGGGAGAAATGTGTGTGTGTGTGTGTGTGTGTGTGCATGCGTGTGTGTGCATGTGCGCATGTGCGCATGCATGTGTGTATGCATGTGAACAGATATGTGACTCTGGATCAGAATGGACATGTTCATCAGGCATGTGTGTAAGTGTGCGTGTGTGTGTGTGCGTGTGTGTGTGCGTGTGTGTGTGTGCGTGCATGTGTGACTGTCTGGATCAGAATGGACGTAGCCCTGCTCCCCAGGCGTGGAATCACACTCGTTAAAAGTGAGTGATGAGAGTTGATAAACCGGGAGTGAATGAGGAGCAGCAGCCCCTCCCCCTCTACAATGAAGTCATGTATGAATGGGGCTATCGGAGAGTTCATTGATAAATCTAAAGCCATATGGCAAATGACCACCCAAGAGACCCAGTTGACTAACTCATTGATTTGGGCCTAATGCATTTTTAATGGTTACCCAGATGCGTCTCCTAATTACATCGCCATGTGTTCCAGAATAAAGCACGAGTCATCCTCCAGCGATGAAGAACACTCCGCCGCCAAGCCATCCAGCTCAAGCCACCTCTCTCTTTTGTCCAACGTCAGCTACAAAAAGACCCTGCGGCTCACTTCGGAGCAGTTGGTGAGTCTTGTGCTCTTAGTACAGGTCATGGCCAGATAGGGTTAGGGCTTTCTTGAAGGTTTGGGGGTTCCTTCTACTTTTGTGATCACTTAGCCCTTCCTAGGACCTTTCTTATGCCATCATGCCTGCTGGTGACCTCACACCCTTACTTTGGTACCCCGTGTTTCCGCCCTGACTTTGTATCTGTTCGTGTGGACCTGCTACATGACTTTGCACTCTGAGTTGCTTTTTTTTCTGACCTAGGAGGAGGAGGTAGCTTTGCCCGAGCCCATTTATCCTCGTTACCAGTGGCCGGGAGACTTTGGAATGTCTCTCATGAGTGCTTTTGCTTTGAGAGAGATGCCTGTTAACTCAAATGCATCTATAAAATAGGTGGAGATCAAGCAGGCGTGATGGGGTTTAGAGGATTTTAGGAAACAGAGGCCCCCCCCCTTTGTGTGTGTGTGTGTGGAGAGAGAGAGAGAGAGAGAGAGAGAGAGAGAGAGAGAGGAGAGAGATTGAGATTAGATTAGTTTTAATGAGGTCTTTCCAACCCTGGACTTAACTTCAAATCAAGGTCATCCAGTGCAGGTAACTCTGCTTTTCTACACTAAAGTTTGTGCATCTATTGCAAGAATTTATGGGGAGCAGGTTTTGATAGGATGGTATTTAATGGGACAAGATGACCCCACATTAGCCACTTGTAGCACCCCAGGGGACACTTAGAGTCAACCGTGTGGGTCTGTGGGTCAGCTGCCCTGTCTTAGAGTGTACCAGCAAAGACTGAAGACCGACCAAAGGTAGTTTTGTTTCCTGAATTTGGTATAACATGCTTGGGCCTAGTCTTTGTTTTTATGGATTCAAGGCCTCTCTTTCCAGTCTGTGTTATTATAAAATCAATAAAAACCTGCTATTGAGGGAGACATGTTTGCCTGTCGTATGTTTGCGTTCTCACAAGACCCTTCCCATTTCTTTGGTGAAGCCTGGCAGCCGCTGGTCACTTAGCTCCGTGCACTCACTCTCTGTGCTGGGTTAAGTCAGTGAGGCTCTTAGCAGCAGAATGCTTTGTAAGGGGTCGGTGGCTGCTTCCCTGGTGGGGCGGGGGAAAGCTAGGACTGACTTAGGTTGCCTGTCCAGCCCTGAAAAGAATTACATCCAGAAACAGAAGAGAGAATTTCACAATGGCCTAGGCAAGCCAGGTTTGATTTTAAAGCCTGCAGAGGCCAAACCACCCCGCATCTGGACCTCCCTATCGAGCACCAAATGGTTCATGTTTTTCAGAAAAGCTTGAAGTTGAAGAATGGCCCCAATGATGTGGTTTTCAGTGTCACCACGCAGTACCAGGGCACCTGCCGTTGTGAAGGCACCATCTACCTGTGGAACTGGGATGACAAAGTGATCATCTCAGATATCGACGGGACCATCACAAGGTGGGTCTGACCACAGCACGGTCTGGAGCTGGCTTCCATCGCACTCTGGGCAGTGTCGTGGGAGCTGGAACGTCCAGTTTCTGGTGCATCTGGAACTGTGCAGATAGGGGCAGTACTTTGGCTGCCACTAGGGTCTGGTGACTTGTTTCTGTTTGGGTATCATCTCCCTAGCCTGGTGGGTTTTGGAGAACGTTGCTCTGGAATGGTTAGCAGCCCCACAGTTGGGTTTGGCAAACCCAGTCCTCAGCATGATGGCTCACCATGGCCTTCCCGTAGTGTCCTCACTTGACTCTGGGAGCCTGGGCTTTCCACTGGCTCTTATTCATGCTATTACTTCTTTTGGTTTTCTTTTTTATACATTTTTTGTGGGTGTACCCATGTGTGCATAAGCATGGACCTCTGGGGTCAATTTGGGGACAGTCTGTTCTCTCCTGCTATGTGGGTGCCTGGGATCAAAGGCAGCGAACAACTTTACCTCTGAGCCTTCATTCATACTATTTTTATGGGGCACAAGTAGTGTATCTAAGCCAATTGGACATTTTTTCTCCTCCTCTTACAGTAGCATTTGGCTTATGTATATGTATTTCATCTTTATTTAGATCGGATACTCTTGGTCATATTTTGCCCACACTGGGAAAGGATTGGACCCACCAGGGCATAGCGAAGCTGTACCATAAAGTCAGTCAGTAAGTATAGAGCACCTGACCTCCATCTTCTGTCCGCCAGGTTGCGCCCCCCCCCCCCCCCCATACAGTCTCTCTCCCTCCGAGCATGGAGTTGTAACTCACTTGCTTCCTTAGGGGGCAGGTAAGATTGTCTTTCCCCTGGGATTACAAATGAGGCCAGACTCCCTTCTCTCCACAGCAGGGGCCTTCAACTGAGGGTAGCTTTGGGGTCCCCCACACCGCCCTGCTGAATATATAGCAGCATCTAGAGACTTAGTTTTGAGACAGGGTTTTTTACTATGTAGCCCAGACTGACCTGGAACTCAGTCTCTGCTTTTGCCTCCCAAGTGCTATGATTTCAGGCACGAGTGGCCATGCTTCAAGGCATTTTTGATTGTCATGATTACTGTGTGCTGTGGGCACCCGGTGGGCGGAAGCAGGGATGCTGTGTCTCACAGTGCATCACTGTAAGCATCTGACATCTCCCTGCTCCAAGATAGCTGTGCTGAGGACCCCAGTCTACAAGCTTGTCTTGGAAAATTTGATGGTGGTAAACCATTCAAAACTATTTAAAGTCTGTCTGGATTGTGGGCTTTGAAATGTTTTTTTAATTTTTATTGTACGTGTGTGTGTGCATCTACATGTGTGTATGTGTGTGCGTGTGTGGTGCATATGTGTGTTTGTGTGTGTGTTTGTGTTTGTGCATGCCACAGCCTGATTGTGGAGGTCAGAGGACAGACAGTTCTCAGGAGTTGATTCTCACCTTCCACCTCGCTGAGACAAGGTCGCTCTTGTTTCTACCACTGCTGTGTACTCCAGGCTGGCTGGCCTGATTCTCCCGTCTGTGCCGCCCATCTCGCCATGGGAGTGCTGGCACGGCTGGTGGGTGCCAGCCATCAGTCTCCCCAGATGGGTTCGGGTGGTATGCGGTGGTCAGTTTTGCACTATTTGTCATTTAACCCATTGCACCTACTGGGCCATTTCTCCAGCCCCTGCATTGTCTAATAAAGCCGAGTGTAGAGACTGGGGCAGAATGAGAAGCCTGGAAACAGGTTCCCTGCTGTGCTCAGCTCTAGTGCTCTGCAGACCCCCATGGGGCTCACTGAGAACTCGACAAGCAAGAGCAGACGGTGTATCATGCTCCTTTCCCCGTCCCCCCTGCACCCCACTGCTGCTGTGGTTTTTGCCCACAGCCCTCTATCCCCTATGAGGACAGGGGCTCTCTGTCTATGAGGACATGGGCATCTCTGGCAATCTTGGGCTGTATGGAGGGCTCAGAGCATGTGGCCGAGGGCTGATGGGGGTGGGAAAGTCTGTAGCGTTGCCCTCTCTGTGGTGGACAAGTCTTACCACCCTACCCCACCCCAAGAAGCGCCCTTTCATTCTTGAACTGACCAAGGGCCCCGCAACCACTGTCAGGCTATAGGAAGCGTGGTGCTGTCTGGTATGCAGAAGAGGTGAATGGTGGCTTATTGTTTGGAAGGCCACTTTAGATATAGGACCCAGGATGTAGTGAGCGGCACTGAAGCTAATTCTCAACTGGAAATAACATTTTACAGAATATAGACTTTTACCTCTGGGCTACTTCCAACCATGCCTTTCTTCATAGGGCAGGTGGTGAGGGTTCGAGATGCTGAAACGTCCCATCGTACAGCGCTATTCTCAAGGGAGATGGGTTGTGTCTTTCAGGAACGGCTACAAGTTTCTCTACTGTTCGGCACGTGCCATTGGAATGGCAGACATGACAAGGGGCTACCTTCACTGGGTCAACGAGAGGGGCACGGTGCTGCCGCAGGGGCCACTTCTGCTTAGCCCAAGCAGCCTCTTCTCTGCCTTACACAGGTACTGTCCTGCCAGTTGAGACCCTTGCACTGACCTGCTGCCCAGCCTTGTTTTCTCTCCCATTGCAGGTTTTGCAGAATGAGTAGACTGTTGGACTGGAGTGTTATTTGTTTTTTCCTCTTTGCTCTATAGGGCTCTTTGGCCCCCAGCTCCCACATAAATCACACATGGATGCTTATTCTTACTTGTGAATGCCCAGCCTTAGCTTGGCTTGTTTCTAGCCAGCTTTTCTTAAATTATCCCATTTACCTTTTGCCTCCGGGCTTTTACCTTTATCTTACTTGTGTGTATCTTATTTTTGTTTTCACTCTGTGGCTGGCTGTATAGCTGGGTGGATGGTCCCTGTCATCCTCCACTCCTTGTTTTATCTTGCTCCTTTCCTCTCTTTTCCCAGATCTCTTCTCCTGTTTATTCTTTCTGCCTACCATCCCTGCCTATCCTTTCTCCTGCCTCACTATTGGCTGTTCAGCTCTTTGTTAGACATCAGGCAAAGAATCACAGCTTCACAGTTAATCAAATGCAGCATGAACAAAAGCAGCACATCTTTACATTGTTAACAAGCGTTCCAGAGCCTAAGCAAACGTAACACCTTAAAATAACATTCTACAGCACTGGGGAGGCGATTCAGTTGATAAATGCCCTTGCCTTACAAGTGCGAAGAGGGGTTTGAGATCCAGAACCACACGTGTGTGTGTGTGTGTGTGTGTGTGTGTGTGTGTGAGAGAGAGAGAGAGAGAGAGAGAGAGAGAGAGGAGAGATGCATTAGAGATTCCTTGCACAGGTCACCAAAATGCAGCTGCTTTGAATGCATTCATAATAAACTCGAGTCACCAATAACACATCAGCATCACATTAACAAAGGACTTACCCTTGGTGTCACACTGAGTGTGACACTTCCCCTTGGTGCCATCTAGCCCAGAATGAACCCAGATTTGAATTCTCTGCTTCCTTTTCCATCCTCTGCTCTGTCTTCTTGTCTCTCTGTCACGTGTCTAACTCTGCCTCCGTGTTTGTCCCTGTCTCTGTGTGTTTATGTCTGTTCCTAACAAAGGGTTTCTGCTTTGTATTTAGTGAACCACACAGAAAGCATCACATGAACATGGAATGGAGGATACTTTCCAGAAATCTTTAACAGAGTTTGACAAGAGGTTAGGTCACTGACTCCAGCTGACCCTGACTGACCCAGATAACAAACACCATTGCTTACCAAGCAGTGTCCAAATGTCGTGCTCAACATTTATGGTGGATATTAATTTTATACAGTTTGTCTAACCTCTGTTTTTGCTGCTTTCAGTAAGTGGTTATCTCGGCACACACTTGTGATACTCTGGGTCAGGAGCATGGAAGAGTTCATAAATTAAGATTACAGCCATCCATTAGCTTAGGTTGTAAAAACTGATCACATGGGAATCCCAAGGCAATCAAGGCTGATGGTTACATTGTTCTCTTAAAAGCCGGTTGGACAAACAGCTGGAGAATATAGCAGGATGGCAGTCTTGCTCTTGTGAGCTCACAGTGGACACATTATGAACTCTGACTGCGAGGTCCAGCACAGGTTCTAGTCTCTTAGGATGCCGTGGGTGTGGTGGCAGAGACAGGTGGATCCCTAAGCCTCACAAGTCAGTCAGCCTCACCTATTTGGTGAGTCCTGGATCAGTGAGAAAAAAACCTTATCTGAAAAGTAGAAGAGGGGACAGCTCCGGAGGAATGACATCTGAGATGGACCACTGGCCCCTGCACTTGTACATGCACCCATTGGTTCCCCTCCCCCCCGCCACAGACACACACACAGACACGAATGTGATGCACACAGATACACACAGATACACACACAGACACGAATGTGATGCACACAGACAGACAGACACATACACAAATGTGGTACACACACACAGATACACACAGACAGACACGAATGTGATGCACACACACACAGATACACACAGACACACACACAGACACGAATGTGATGCACACACACACAGATACACACAGACACACACACAGACACGAATGTGATGCACACAGACAGACAGACACATACACGAATGTGATGCACACACACACAGATACACACAGACAGACACGAATGTGATGCACACACACACAGATACACACAGACACACACACAGACACGAATGTGATGCACACAGACAGACAGACACAGACACGAATGTGGTGCACACACACAGATACACACAGACACAAATATAGACACAGACACACACACACAAAAACACACATAGACAGACAGACACACAGACACACAGATAGAAAGACACATACACAGACACACAGAGACAGACAAGCACAGACATACATATACATGCTTGTGGTGCATACACACAGACTAACATACACAGACACACACATACACATGCCTCTTAGCTGGCCTCTTCTGACTAGTGTCCATGGTCCTCATGCTCACTTTCCATGCTTAGCGGTGTCCAAGCTATATTGGACCCACTGTTTCAGAACCAAGTTTCATTAAAGGTCTGTTATGATTTGATTAAAAATGCAATGAATCTAGAGGCCAATTTAGAGAGAATTAATAGCTCGATATAATATTGAATCATCCAATTCAAGAATCTGGTATGTCTATTTAGGATTTTCTTCTCTATTATATTTCAGTGAGTTTTTATATTTTTATAATTTATTTATCTTTTTTATTTCATGTGCATTCATGTCTTGCCTGCATGTATATCTGTGTGAAGGTACTGGACCCCCTGAAACTGGAGTTACAGGCAGTTATGAGCTGCCATGTGGGTGCTGGGAATTGAACCCAGGTCCTCTGGAAGAACACCCAGTGTACTTACCCAATGAGTAAGCCCTGAGTTTTTATAATTTTAACCAAAAAGGTCCTTCATATCTTTTAACCCTTAAATTTTCCTAAGTTTTATAGCTTTTATTTCCCTTTTCTTATGTTGTTATGGTATCCAAAAACCCAGCACTGAACCACACTGTTTCTGGAGACCCTTGTTTTACTCTCCATAGGAGGTTTGCATAGGGCCTTATGGGAAGCCCAGTCTTCGACTGGGTCTCAGTAGGTAGACCGTGCTATCCCCTGAATTTTTGGCCATCCCCATGCCTCTCCTTCTTTATTTCTGGGATTACAGGTGTTTGATACCACAACCAGCTTTTTGTAGTAGTTTTTTCTATTTTTGATGTAAGAATTTTTATCCTGGGGCTAGAGAAATGACTCAGCAGTTAAAAGCACTTCCCTTGCAGAGGACTAGAGTTTGATTCCCAACACCCATGCTGAATGGCTCACAACCACCTGTAACTCTAGCCCCAGGGGATTGGACATCAGCTATTGGCCTGTACAGGCCACATACACACACACTCACACAGCACGTGGACACACATACATACCAATAACAAGTTAAAAAAGAGTTTTCATCCTAACTAGATGTTGATCAGTGTCTTTGTATCCGAGGTGATCTTCTTTCTGTTAATCTCAGGGTGTGCGCTGCCATGCATGGTCCTCTGTATTTTTCTTATGCTGAGAGTGTGGTTCATTCTGAGTTGAGTGTTTTCCTGGGCTGCTGGGCCAAGTGTATAGCTTGCATATTGAAGACTAGTTTAAATTTCCTAATTTAAATTTCTTTATTTTGTGTGTACAGTGCCACATGTACAGTGGTGTCTGCGTGTGTGTGTGTGTGTGTGTGTGTGTGTGTGTGTGTGTGTGTGTCTGTCCGAGGACAGCATGCAGGGGTCAGTTCCCTTCTCCTAATGTGGCCCTGGGGACTATACTCAGGCTGTCGGACTGGGCAGCTTTTGTGATCCTCACACCACTTTAATGCAAACTAAATCCTCTCATGCTAACCATTTGTTTGTTTGTTTGTTTGTTTTAATAGAGAAGTGATTGAAAAGAAGCCAGAAAAGTTCAAAGTCCAGTGTTTGACAGACATCAAAAACCTGTTTTTCCCAAACACAGAACCCTTCTATGCTGCTTTTGGAAACCGACCTGCTGTGAGTACCTGAGGGGTCCGTGAAGCCTTAAGACATTATACTTGGTGCCCAAGCTTTCCCCAAGGCCTGGCCAAGGAGTGCATGTAAAATGAGCCTTCTCCTAAAGCAGAGAGGTTAATCATATCGGACATGGTCTCCTGTCTTCTTGGAAGGCGTTTGAAGCTGGCGACCTGGGCCACAAACTTGCAATTGTGAAACATTACATTAGTGAAATAAGGGCACTGAAGGCGCAGGGTCCTTTCTGAGTGATGGGCCCAATGTGCCAGCCCTGCCTGATGGCAGTTTCGGGTCCAGTGCCTCCACCCTGAAGCATGTAGAGAGATCTCTTGGCTGGAGGAAATGTGTGGAGATGACATGTGGGACCCAAGCTTCCTGGAAGGTTCAGTTTGAAGCCTATAGCAAAGACTCATAGGGTGGCAGAAGTGTGTGGAGATGTTGGGTATGTGACCCACTCTTGGCAGAAGGTCCTGTATTCTATAGAATATAGATGGGTGTTAACTGAAAATGAAAATGAATGAAATTTATGCCCTGGCAATGCTGAAGCAGGCATGGGTAGCCCGTATATGGTGGTTCTGTTGATGAGGGATGACTGACCAGGTCTCTTTCTCAAGAGGCCACCAGATCACATTATAGATGGTTGTAATGTGGTTGCTGGGGGATTGAACTCAGGACCTTTGGAAGAGCAGGCAGTGTTCTTAACCCCTGAGCTATCTATCTTTCCAACCCCACTGAGGTAGAAAATTCTACTTTAAAAACCTGTGGCAGATTATTTTGAAATGAGAAAATGGGTCAGAAAATAAGTCTGAGGAGTGCCAGCCAGAGTGGCTGGAGATGTGGGAACTCAGCTCAGTGTAAACAGAGACCGCTCTTCCATTTTCCAGCTGCCCAGACCCGGATACTCACATGGGAACGATAGTAATTATAACACTGCCTGGCCAATGGCTTAGGTATATTCCTATCTAGTTCTTATATCTTAAACTAACCCATTTCTATCATCAAGAGGCTGTGGCTTACCAGAAAGGTTCTGGCGTCTTTCTCCTTTCACGGCAGCTACGTGGCATCTCCTTGACTCCTCCTACACTCTCTGTCTCTGCTTGAATTTCCTGCCTGGCTTTACTCTGCTAAGCCATTGGCTAAAACAGCTTCATTCATCAACCATTAAAAGCAGCACATATGTATAAGGACCTCCTGCATCAGCTCAGGTCCTGAAGAGGTGAAGGAACTGAGGCTCAGAGGAAAGCTAGTTGAATGTGTGCCCATTCTCCTGAGGGGCAGCACTGGTTAGTGAAAATTGGATAATACAACATTCGATGAAAGGTGGTATGTACTTGTTTGTACAGTGAATTCCGTGCCTCCCCTGACAGTTACATCACTTTTTCTAACCACAGGATGTATATTCCTACAAGCAAGTGGGCGTGTCCCTGAACAGGATCTTCACTGTCAACCCCAAGGGAGAGCTGGTGCAGGAGCATGCCAAGACCAACATCAGCTCGTGAGTATTATCTCTTCCCCTGGAACTGCCCCCCACCCCCACTGTCCTGAAGCCAGCATCACTGTCTGTTGCAGATCCCTTTAGCCATTGCTACCTCTGTTTTCATCTTTGCATGTATTTGTGTGTGTGGACACATGTATGCAGTATGCATACTTGTATGTGTTCCTATCTATGGAGGTCAGAGGTCAATGTGTCTTCCTCATCATGGTGACCTTATTTTTTGAGGCAGAGTCTCTCATTGAGCTTGGGGCTTACCCATTTGATGGTCCTGGCTGGCCAGTGAGCTCCAAGGACCTTCCTGTGTCCAGCGCGCTAGCACTGGGGTTGCAGGCATGTATAATACCTGACTTTTTCTGTGGATGTTGAGAATGTCAACTCAGGTTCTCATTCCTTCAGGGAAGGCAATTTATTAATTGAGCCATTTCTCTAGCCTCTGTTTTAATCTTATTTCCTCTAAAAATGGAGTTCAATGCCATGTCTTCAGTCTCCAGATTAGTTTTTGGACAAGTAGAACGAAGTCAGATCCCTCAGGATGTTAAGTCTCAACTAGAGGGTAGAGTCTTCTGTGGAATGGAATTGAATGAGTTCAGGAACTAGACATTCAGTTGGCTGAGTTAGAATGTCAGTTAGGAATGTAACCCAGGTGACACTTTCTTCCCCATAGTACTGAGGATGGAGCCCAGGGCCGTGGGCATGCTAGGTGAGCATTGCACTCCAGAGGTGCCCTTCTCAGTCCCTGGCTTAACGCTGTTTGCTTTGCATTGAGACAGGCCCTTGCCATGGAGTCCAGGCTGGCTTTGAGCTTGGTAGTCCTGCTTCTTTCTCCCCAGCATGGGGATTACAGGGTGCGCCACCACACCTGGCTGGTTTGCTGTGTTGAATGAGGCATTGTAGGGCATGTGGCATCACCCTTGGCTCTGCCTCAGCTCACGTGGGACTCTCATGTCAGCCCTGCTGGGTGCATCAGCCCAGGTAGGGTCTGTCACTCTGCCTTGCCCACCGCAGAGGTGGTGGTGTATTGTTTTATGTGATCCGTACTAAATGGGAAAATAGCCTAAGACTTAAGTGATGTCAGCACTGGCGTAAGCTGAAGAGTTGGGCATGGGGCATGGGCTGTAATTCCTCCTGGTGTTGGCGAGGACTTCCCATTCTTTTTGAGCCTGGGCATGGTTGTGACTCACACCTACAGTCCCAGCACCCTGGAAAGCAGAAGCAGGAGAATTGCTGTGACTTTTAAGCCTGCTGTAGGCTGCATAGTGAGTTCCAGGCCAGTCTGACTTTCAGAATGAGAGCGCAGTTTTTCACTGTGAAGATGGTCTTTTTTTTTTTTTTTTTTTTTTTTTTTTTAGTCCAGCTTGACCAGAGAAGTTCCAAATGTGAGGGAGCCCTGGCTTCCTGGCTTTGTAGAGAGATCAGGCCTTGGAGCAGGTCGGGTAGGACCCTTTCACTTGTGGTCTTGAGACAGGTGCTCTGAGGTGAATTCTCCATCTTCAGGAAGCATGTATACCAAGACCCAGAGCTTGGTATGATGTTTTCTTTTAATGATTATTAATTTGTGTGTGTGTGTTGTGTGTGCGCGTGCATGTGTGAGTGTGTGTGTGTGCGCGCGCGTGTGTGTGTGTGCGTGTGTGTGTGCGCGTGTGAGTGTGTGTGTGTACACGTTCATGTGCATGCATATGTGGAGGCTATTTTCTACTTCCACCTTTCTGTGGGCTCCAGGGTTTGAATTTAGGCTACCAGACTTTTGAGGCAAGCGCTTCTTTACCTCCTGAGCCGTCTTGCAGGCCCTTGGGTATGGCCAGTTCTAGCCAAACAGGTGCTTGTCCTTGGGCCGTCTCTAAGTGATGAAGTCCCACTGGGCAGAGAACCGAGTTCAGGGCTTTCCTCCTTTATAGACAAGGAATGTCCTGTCCTTGCTCCAGGGAGCCCATGCCTGGAGGATGGAATGGGCCACCCACATGGAGCAGGCACTGCTGCCAGGGCACGTGAGCCTTGCCAGCTTGGTTCTGGTGGCTTCTGCAGCCTGGCAGGGGACAGCTCCTTGTGGGGAGTCCCACACCCCCATAGCCACAAACCTCAGACTAATAAGCCTTCAAGTCAGGAGGTATTTTAAAAATTTGTTTGTTTGCTTTAATCCCCAGAAAAGACATAATTCTTAGTGTAGTAGTAAGAGAGGTTTCCCTGCTTTGTGCAGGCGCACTGTTTCTCACGAGTCTATTGGAGGCCCTTTATTAAACACACACGCAGCCTTATTGAAGAAGTCATTTCATGCCTCAGAACATGCTAATTCCTGGAGTTTGGGTTTCGAAAGCCCCTTCTGGTTCTCGGCACGAGTGGGTGGAGAGGGGCCCAGGGACTGTCAAAGAGGAGTCTAGGCTGTGCAGGAGGGGGTTGGGCATGCCTGCATCACTGGGGCCTGGAGGTCTTCCAGTTATGGAGCTGCTTTCTTTCTGTAGTGCAGGCTATGGCTAGGCAACATCTTCCTGGGGACAGAGAAAGTACCCTGAGGTAGGGGGTGCTAGAAACCCCTGTGTGGTCCAGTCCCACACACTGTGAGGATGAAGGGGTTGAAGCTCAGGGACGGCAGGATACTTGCCCAGAGTCAGACAGTAAGAAAGACTGGGTGAGGCCTCAAGCTTGGGGACCCTCAGCCAGGACTTTTTCCTGAAGCACAGGTGATCCACCGTTGACTGATGAGTTCCCGGTACATGCTATTGAATTATTGCCCATATTATTCTGTTTCTGACGCTAAGCAAATGGCAGTTTTCATTTCCTTTCCTTTACGGTAGAGGGCCTCGGGGTGTAGAGACGTCCAAGCCTTTGCCTGAGAGCACAGCTGGAACCGGAGAGGATTGGTGCCAAACCTGCATTTTGATAAGCCCATGGCCCTGCATCTTGTCACTGTGAATGTGGTCGTCTCTGCTGCTCTGAAGATGGGCTTTGTCTGTGGTTCCTCCCCCAGCAGCCCACATGTGGCCTCCGTAGAAGCAGATGCCTCTGACTATGCTGGTCTCCCTCCCTCTGTCCATCCCCGCATCTCTGTGGCTGTTGTCTGTTCTTCATGCATAGTCAGGCTGGCCCCTTTGGGGAGCGTTCTCCTTTTCGCATATTCAGTCTCCCCATTCAAGCTTCCATTAGCTCACAAGGCTAGAAAGGTTGTGCTGAGGCAGGGTTGATGGCTGCTCACAGGCGTTACGATACTCTATTTCTCCCCAGCCCACAGTGCAGCCCAGAGTCCGGCACTCATCTTCATGTATCTGGTGCGGCTCCATGGGTAATGAACCTACTGTTTTTGTTCGCTTTCAGGTATGTAAGGCTCTGTGAAGTGGTTGACCACGTCTTCCCATTGCTGAAGAGAAGCCATTCCTCCGACTTCCCCTGTTCAGATACTTTCAGTAACTTCACCTTTTGGAGAGAGCCGCCACCACCCTTTGAAAACCAGGACGTACATTCAGCTTCAGCTTGATGCCATCAAGCATTAAAGGATAGGTTCTGGGGACCCTGGAGCTGCTGGGAAGGCTGACATGTGGCCATCTGCCTAAGAGAGAAGTGTTTCTTCCTTGACCTGCCTGCCCTGGGGTGACACTGCTAAGCGTGGAGGGTGGATGGAGGCCGCATCTCATCCCGTGGACCGCGTGAGGATTAGGAGCACTAGTAACGTGCAAAGTGGTCCTCTGTCTGGGGTGACATGCACAGAGCTGCACACTCCAGCCCGTTCCAGCAGTTAGTCAATGTGCAGTATGGGTGGTGACCCCTCAGGAGAAGTGGGCTGGCTACCTGAGAGCTGTCTCAGTGTTGGCTTGCTCCCCCTTCTCCCCCCGGGAACTCTGATGTGTGCAGCTTATGGTAGCACAAGGGGCACATTTCCATGACAATGACATCTGTGCCATCTTCCACACATAGAGATGGGTTTTTTTTCAGAGTCTGAGTGCTCTGAAGGGAAGCTTCCGGGGCCTCGATAGGTCCTAGCTCTCAGGCTTTGACTTTATAGCCCCTCCCTTGCAGTATTGCTGACTTAGTTTCACTGTAGGAGATAAGCTCCTGATTTGCCCTGGTTAAAGACGGCCTGTGCCGTTGCTGCATCTCTCCCCACTCCTCATAGCTCAAGGCTGGGCTATTGTTTATGCCTTAACACATCTGCAGCAGGCATTTGCTTCAAGCGCACTGTCTAGTTCTTCGTAACTGCGATGCCTTACATTAAATGATAGCCCCCAAGGCAGCATATGCTGCGTCTCGTCTGCATCCCACCGCCAGCCAGGAAGCACCACTAATGAGGACTGGAGCAGCACCTATGCCAAAGGAGAACAGTGCAGCTAAAGAAACTGGTTGTTTTTAAGAAACATAGTTTCCAGAAGTTAAATTATTTTCTTTGCAGATATTATTTATTACTTTCCTCTCATTGGGCTGCTGTTGTGAGCATCCTAGCAGACCCTCGGGATTGCAACTGGCATGAGTACATTAAAAGTTAAGTGTGCTAGACAATCCAAAGAGCCTTACTCTGTGTATGCCACACTCATCTTCTGGGATTTCTGAGTTATTAATTTTCCTTAGCTTTTTCCATTCAGTCTAAGGGTAAGGGGAAAAAAAGCAGGAGTTCTTTAAGCTGATAGAGGGTAGTTGTTGAACTGTCTCAGAACAATGTGAAAAATGAAAAGTATTTTGGTAAAAGATTTTGCTTTACTTTTGGAAGTTTTATTTTTTTAAAGGGTGTTTTACTCCTGAGAGATCTTCCTATTTAAATTTTATTGTTTGAGTCAGAGGAGACAAAAGAAAAAAACAAAACAAAACAAAACAAAAAAAACCAAAAAACAAACAAAAAAACAAAAACAAAAAAAGGAAAGAGAGTGAAAAAAGACTGGACTGTTACTCTTTCTGTGAAAGAAAACCTAGAGTCACTGTTGTTGTTGTTGTGTCTGTTAAAGTCTGGAGTGGTTCATGTAGTTCACAGGAATGGACAAGGAGAGGCAACCGTGCTGCTGTGGACCACAGCCGGATGGAGGAGCAGGCTCGCGTATAGTTCCCTTCTGGGAATGATGAACGTAATTAAGCATAGGCCTGCCACAGTGAGCTCGTGGCCTGTCCTCTAGTGACCTTGGGAGGCCACAGCGGTGTTAGTGTGTATTCTGGTTGCTGTGGACGGCAGACAAGCTCGTCTGCCTGAAGAGGTTCACGGGCCTCTCCTCATGCCCAGGAGAAGCCTTAGGATCTCCCTTCATCTGCACCCTGCAGTCCTCTGTTCCAAGTGACATGCTGAGAGCATGCAGTGGCCTGTGTGGGGATCTGTTCATGTAACCAAGGCTGGTCTACAACACACAGCCACCACACCTGGCTAGGGAAACTGGTTTTGAAATCTCTTAAATTCCCCATTACTCTGCCCTGAAACAGAGCACACCTTCCACACAACCACACTCTGAGATCTCGGATATTCTTCCCAAGCCCTGTTCAGGTCTTGGTGCGAACGAATGCTTGCATTGAGGCTCTGGCGTGAGAGCTGAACGTGAGCTGTACCCAGGCTCACTCAGGTTATCTGCACGTGCACTATAACCCAGGGCCCCAAGGACACACGCCAGAACACTCTGTTAGTTCCACACATTTCAAAGTTGCTCATGGAAATGAGTGACTCACTCCACAGTGACACATCCTCAAATGTTGGTCACACACCATGAAGGAGAATATCCCTGGCACTTTGCAGAGATGTACTTCAGTTTTTGTAGAGAATTCCCCTTGGGATTTCAGGCTTGGATCATTACTTCTGTATATTTGATTGACAACATTGGCTGTGCGTTTGTGAGTGCTGGTGCAATGGTGAAAATCAGTGTAATATTTCATTGTGTTGTGCTTGGTGCAGAACTAGAAGTTTCTGTAATAAACGAGTTGGATGAAAGACTTCCAAATATCAAGCCATATGAATTCTGAATCTTTGTTTTTAAGGTGCTTTTATTATTTTTTTCTGGTGTGTTATCATATACAATACTTAGTTCTTTATTTGGAAAAAAAACCAAAACCCTTGATGTGTTTGGGCTAGGGACATGGCTTGTCGTGCAAGCTCGAATATCCAAGTTCTGTTCCCACCATCCATGTGTGAAGCCAATGAGGAAGTGTGCACTTGTCATCCCATTGCTGGGGGAGGTCACAAAATAATCCCACACTAGTTCAGAATTAGGTATAAAAAAGGGTTATTTACTTAGGGGAGACTCACAGATCACTGTCCTAGGTCACAGTCCTCTGCACGAACTGGGAACAGGAAGAGAGTCTAAAACAAGAGAGTGAGCACAGGCTTTACAGCTGCATTTATAGTATAAGAGACCATACCCAAGTGGGCTGGTATCTTAAATGCTATCAGCTGAAGGAGCAGAAGAAGCAAAAGGAGCTCCCATGGCAGGAGGTGGCGATGGCTGGCTCCCTGGCACTGGCTAGACAGACAGCCTAGGGGAATCCATAAGCCCCAGGTCCCAGTGAGAGACCCTGCCACAATAAGCATGGTGCATTGTCCCTGAGGAGGAACAATACCTGAGGTCCTGGCTTCTACATGCATGGGTGTACCAGTGCATGCACCCATCCAAGGGCCTGGACACAGATGGACGGGGACACACACACAATTAGTCCTTAAGTTTGCAAACCCTTCACTGTGGGAATCAGCTTGTTTTCTGTTTGAGTTCATATCGGTCATCATACCAACCCTGTTTATCCCTGAGACAGATAGAGATAAGAATGTGTTCTTCCCATGGAAGAAGAGAATTCTTGTGGTTCCCTGTACAACCTACATTGGATTGTCAAGCTGAGAGGCCTGTTTGGAATAAGCAGGCTCTTCCCTTGCCTGGAAGGATTTTTGGGGAGCCTGGAGGCACAGAAGAAGGTTTAGTATGCGGCGTCAGAGAGGTCCTACCCCTCCTCACTGTGTACCATGTAGGATGCCTGCACCTCATATCTACTGCTCTCTTGGACATTTGTCCTTAGTTTTTCATAGGAATCCATCACAGCCCTTGGCCAGTTCAATCATTTAAGATGAGGACAGTCATGTACTATTAACATGGCTCACTAGTAATGGCAAGATGCTTCCTATAAATTCTGCTTTGGCTTTAGTGTCTAGGGAGTGGATGGAAGAGTATATCCCTAAACATTAAAGGTATTGCTGAATAAAAATAGAGGCTGAGTTCCTCATGCAGTCCAAATCCCAACTGCTCCTTGGGTGCTTGTAGACTCAATGCATCTTACCAGAAGAATAAACCCTTGAACTTACCTGTACACCGTTCTACCCGACTGCAATGTTTATGCTCTTATCTGAAGTGGAAAACAGGATAGACATGTCTGTAGGCCATCAGTCCGTCCGTCCGTCCGTCCGTCCATCCATCCATCCAATGTGTTCTCTGCCCTTTGACACCTCACTCCATGGTGGCACCTGAGGTTCTTCTGTGCCCCACAGCTCACACCCCCATGCAGACAGAACTTAGGCATTTCCACTAATGAGCTGTGATCACCTATGCATTTGAAGTGCTTGGTGTTGTGATTTCAAAGAGTAATAAATAGGCCTCTGTCTTGCCATCAGGGCTGAGAACATAGATGACAGGTCTCAGCCATCAGCTTTGGGGTACAGAGAGCCCTTTTGTAAAAGATAATGTGTAATCCTGGACTGGAACCGTCATGGAGGGAAGTTAAAGAAGCCCCGTTTGAAACAAGCAAGTTCTGGGACTACACACAGCCTAGCAGGCCTGAGGTCCCAGCATCAGAGCTGAGACCTGTAACCCCGCCCACTCACCTCACTTTGTCTGTGTTTTCCACCATGGCTGTGCAGTGTGAAGAGCGCTGGACTCACCCCCTTGAACGTAGGAGGGGCAAAAGCCCCCTAAGATTTCTCCCTTTTCTAGTTAGCTTGCATGAGGATCCCATTTCTGCCTTGGGAATGGCAAGGATTGCAGGCGGACCGTTTGTCTGCCCGGATTTTGCATGGGTTCTGGGGAATCTGAATGCTGGTCATGGGTGGTCTGGAACTCCATTTATATTCAAGGATGACTTTGAATTTTGATCATTTTCCCTCCACCCCTCAAGTGCTGGTACCACAGGTATGTGCCCTGGTGACTGGTTTATTTGATATTGGGAATTGGAACCAGAGCTTCCTGATTGCTAGGCAAACACTGCCATTTGCCCTGTATCTCCAGCAAGGCCTTTACATTTTTAACCCCTCTTTCAATCCTGTGGCATCAAAGAGGACAATGGATGTCGCTTGTGGTGCAAGCCAGGCTTGGTCCCCAGGGAAAGCAGAGTATGATGATGACCCTGGAAGTCAGTGGAAGCCAATGGCCACTGGGGGGCACAGTTGGTTCTGGTTTGGCCAAATGGCCTTGCAATGGAGCCTCTGCTTTTCTAAAAGGCCCCTCCCTGCATGTAGCTTGCAGCCCAGCCAGGCTGTGGATCAGAGTTGTATAGGGCAGGGGGGTTTCTTCAGGGGACTGTTTGAGTACTGATGTTCCTCAGATTGGCTCCACCTGAGGCCAATCTTAGTGGACTTTGGAGGCTGGACAGTCTGTCTGTTTGGATTTAAAATGCATTCTTTGTAATTCTCTAAGTCTAGTTTGGTCCTGGAGGAGCAGGGAGTTTGTTAAAAATACAAATGTTGGGGATATTACCTTGTCCTACTGACCTAATGGCTAGGGCCCCTGAGATACATTTCAGTAAGTCCTTGTGGTGTTCCGGATGCATGCACGTGCTGTGAAGAAGGCAGCCAGGGCCTGTGCTTACACCTGCCTAAAATCTGGCTACCTCAGGAATGTTGTTCATTTGGGACTCACATCTGCTCCACCCCACCCCGCTCAAGCCAGGTGAAAAATAACACCCACAGCTCTTCCTAGAAAGGACCTTAGAGACCCAGGCACAGGTATTTCCTTAAGTCACTAGGTGCCTCAGGACCCTGTGGTTGGAGGCATCCACTCAGATCTGCCTTCCTGAGGCAATCTCAGCTGAAAGTCACTGATCTGGGAGGAGGCCACAGGCCTGGCAGCCTAGGTAGAGGAGAGAGCAGGGAACAAGGCAGAGGTGGAGGTGCCCAGATTTTTAATGGTCCCTTCCTCCCTGAAATGGTTGGGAATCTCGAGGACCCTGTCCCGGTGCCAGCGATCTGTTCACTGGTGCAGGAAGCCCATTCAGCCTGCTTTGCTTTCAATGCGTTTTGCAAGCAAGTGGCCTCTTCCTGTGTGTGTGACTCACTCTGCCTTTTGTGCGCCGGAGATCGCGGTTTGAAGTTTCACTTTGGAAAGTAACCACCAGCACCACCGCTTTCTCCTGAGGCTGGAACCCCAACAAGTCACATTCATTTTGCAACAAAGAAATGTAAACGGAGGCGCAGCCAGTCATGTTTCTGCCCTGATTGTAAAAACATCCTTTTCCTGAGATGGTCTACAAGCCAAGATGAGGAGAAAGGGTTTACAGTTTCAAGGCACACATTCATTTCAGGGCTTTGTGTTTTCCTTCTAGAACTCCTTGTCATTTCGATCTGTTTTTCAGGATTGTCCTAAGAGAGAGAGAGAGAGAGAGAGAGAGAGAGAGAGAGAGAGAGANGGAGAGAGAGAGAGAGAGAGAGAAAGGAGAGATACACACGGTGCTAGTTGATTGGGCAATCCATCCCCTAGTTGACTGAAAGTGACTCAGATCTGGACCACAGTTTGGGTTCTCACTACACAGAAAGAATGATGCTAATAGAGTTGATTGAAAGTGTATTTTTTTCAACTGGATCCTCCCCAGCTATCAGTCCTGGGCCCTGCACATGTGCATTTCTTAAGCCATACGGGTTTAAGTGGGTAAATGCTGCAGAGCCATTTCTCCCCTTAAGTTTGAAGAGTCTTCTTCAAAATGTTGTAGAGTTGAGCCACATTATTATCACCACCATTATTTTTAAAGTCTTTTTATGCATATGAGTGTTCTGACTGCTTGTATGTAAGTACCACGAGCATACCTGGTACCAGTGGAGGCTGGAAGAGGGGACTGGATTTCCCTGGACCTGGAGTTCCCTGTGATTGTGAGTGGCCCAGCAAGAGTGCTGGGAACCAAGCGGGAGTCCTCAGAAGCTGCTGAGCTTACCTCCAGCTCAGTTTCTTACTAGTATTTTGAGATGGGATTTCAAGGAGCCCATGATGGGCAGAGGTGGATATGGCCAGGTTTCTAATGGTCCCTGCCTCCCTGAAAAGGTTGGGAACCTCGAGGAGCCTGTTCCGGTTCCTGCCATGAACTTGCTATGTGAATGAAGATGGGTCTGGTTTCCCCTCCATTACAGGTATAGATCACCACACCTAACAGTGTGGTACTGGGGTTCTAACCCTGGGTTTCATGCATGGTAGTCAAGGACCCTAATATGGGAGCTACACCCCGGCTACCAAATGTTTTTTCTCTAATACTTTTTATGCACAATAACACATCCCAAATGCATTTAAAATCAAGTGCAGCTAAAACGGCAGTGGTCAGAGTCTCACTTAGCATGAATGTGACGTTCTGCGAAGTTGATGCTAAATTTGGGTTTATAAGAGATGCATTTGATGCTTCATTTCTCGATTCAGTTCTTTCAGCTGTGCAAGGAGGGCTGTCACTTAAATCGTTGTCATTAAACACGAACTGTGACAAGAGTTAGGGTGGACAGTCTTACTCCCCGTGTGTGGTGTGTGTGTGTGTGTGTGTGTGTGTGTGTGTGTGTGTGTGGTGTGTGTTATGCTGTTGAAGAGCAGTTCTGCTTTGTTTCCTCTGGTGCTGGGGATCGAAGCCAGGCCTCGTGGATGTGAGGCAAGCCTTCTTTCACTGAGTGTTTTTCCTCAACTCAGCATTGCAGGGTAAGTGGGTGGGTGTGTCACTGGGTTTGACAAGGTACTTTAAAGAGGTCTTTTTTTTTTTTTTTTGGTTTTTCGAGACAGGGTTTCTCTGTG